GGCAAATGGTCCCCAATTTATGTATATTTGCGCCTATTTTAGAGGTCATTAGTAAGTTCTCGCTTATTATGATTGACTCATATTTCATAGTGCATCGATAAGCTCTCATATCTCGAAGGCTATTCTTAAGTATTTATCTATTCATGACAGACTCTTATTATCTAGGCTATTCACAAGTCCTTGCAATTTGGAAATCTTCTCCCTATTACTTTTACTTTCATGCCCCACATTAATATACGACTCAATCTTGAGTAAGGTAACCTAATGTTACTATGCATATACGCCTCTTTCTCATTATAAGACACAAAATTTTAAACCCAGCCATAACTCTGCTTGTTTGTCTCTCTCACGTACAATCCCAATCCAACTTATGTTGACAATTAACTTAATTATCGGAGTATTAATAGTCGCTGAGCAATTTTTTGAAAAACGTTGTGTATCTGATTATGCAGGCTACATGGTGTCGACTCTATTAACATCAAGAATTTGTAGATGAGCATCAAAAAATACACACCCTACTTTATATTTCTCATAGCAAAAAATGAGCATACCCATGCTTTAGCCGCTAAAGAAAGAAATGTTCACTCCACATCTAATGAGTTGAAATATTATCATGTAAAGAGTTGAAATATATTTTACAGGATGTAAGTTCACCAATAGTATCTAATTTTGTCAACGAAATACTCCTTAACGACCAATTAAGGTGTCCTAGCATTCTGAGTCCTTTGCTAAGTAGCTCCGATTGCATAGAGGGCTCTTAGGGTATTGTATACCGTATGGAGTCATCGTCAGAGTTTAGTATAGCAGCAGAGGGTGATTTCTGGGTTCAAACCCCTCACGTCCCATGTCTGCATTAGGAAACAAATAGGTTGTATATATCCCAAGCCTCTCTCGCCCCTTGTGAATTTTGTATTAGTTTCTTAGGGCAATCATAGCCGTCTTGTCGTCATAGAATGCACCATCCTAATTCTAGATTTCTAATTAAATAAATGAATCAAGCTACATGTACACACGCCTCTCACACAAGGGGCAGGGCCCGAGCATTAAATGCGCCGGGGCCCACTCCCTTCATGTGAGGGGAGTCGGTGAACAAATGACTTAAACCTGAATAAATATCAGAACATTATTGTCAAAACTAAATTTTAACGTGAATTAATGTTCTTAAACACCCTAATTTGTCTCAATTTGGCCTGCATAGGTTACTATTAATGACTTTTTCTAGATGGATTTGACATTTGATACTGAGAGTTTTTAAATCAACAAATTATATAAAATTATTTTCTTACGATAGAAACTTCTTTTTATTTCGAAAGTCAATAGCAATTCCTAAAAATATATAAAATAAAGTCTTGGCTCCCTTTAAAATAAAATTATTTAATTCTCATATCCATTTTTAACCCCACATTCACATAATAAAATATTTTGAAAGTAAATTCAAAACTTTTCCATATTTTTAACCAAATATTCTCAAAAAATAACTATTCAAGACATTATTTTTTTCTCAATTATGGCCATCAAGCAGTGGCAAACTATACAAATCCATTTTTGTTTAAGCATCTTAAGCAAACTTTAATTGGAGTGAAAAATGAGGAAAAAGGGCATTTTGTTTTTTTTCAATCATGTTTCAGATACATCAAAATTACTGAAATTTCCATGTTCCAAGCCCAACAAAATTGCATTTTATCGTATAATATATCTTTTAGAAAAGCTTGTGCCTAACTTGATATGTAAAAGATATCAATAGTCTTCTAAACTATAGAAATAAAAATTAGATTAATGTTATTCATAGTCGCTCATTGTGACAATTGTTCTACATGGCATCGTATATGGCGGTTTGTGATTTGATAAATTAATGTGGTAGTTTTTTCTTACCTCATATATCAAATCACCAACTGTCAAACGTATGTTAAATAAGATGATTGCGACAGTAAGTGATTGCAAATAACATTATTCTAAAAACTAAAGGTCGAAATCCAAATTTACATAAATAACCGTGTACAATTAAAATTCTTTTTTGATATCCAAAATTTGAATTGAATTTACCAAAAAAAGGAAAAAAAGAAATTATGTAAATTATTATGTAATTGCTTATGTACGGTAGTATTATTCTCATTTTGATGCTATTTATTGAAAAGAAGAACAATCAAATAAATCATTGTATAATTATTTATGTATAAACAGTAGAGAAGTAGATGAAGTAAAGAAGAGAGCGACCATTCCTCAATTTCCACCGAAAACTCAATTCCAAATCTGAGGTCAACATTTAGAAAAATTCCAACTGTACACGGGCCCCTCCGCAGCTCTCTCTATATTCTGTCCGCATAAAAATATTCAACTCCTCCGTGATGGTCCCCATAAAAAATACTCTCCCCCGTGTACGGTGTAATGAATGTAAAAGGGAGAAATTTATCGGAGGTCACCCAATTTATATGTATATTCCGCGTTACTTACTAAACTTCAATTTGTTCTAAAATGACCACATAACCTATAATTTTATTTTAATTCAAATGTTTCATTAGCAATTGGGACATGTTTGGTGGAAAACCCGAGTAAGTTCGAGATTGCGTTGTTTCACCATTTAAGCAATGTTATAAGAATTGAACTGAACCGATCAGTTCAATCAAAAAATCTTGAATAAGTCTGTGTAAAAAAACAAAAATAATAAAATTATGTGAAAAGAGTATGAACTACCTATATTGACTAGTTCACCCAATAAATAGCAGGTTTTACCCTTTAGACTTTGGATAATTAGCACAAAATGTTATTACCTTTCAATATTATTGTGCAAAACGTCACTACCTTTTATTTTTTACCATTTTCGTCCTTATTTTAACGTTTCATTGCAAAAAACGTCATTTTCATCATTTTTAATGTAAAATGACGGAAATACCCTCCCATTTAAATAAAACCAAAAAAACAAAAGAAAAGAAAAATAAAGAATAGATTAAAATCTTACTCCTAAATATTTTAAAAAGTGCAAGTGAGTCCAAATAATTATTAAAAAGCCTAATATCATAAAATGTTTTTACGTTTGGTCTATAGTGTGCAAAACGTCCATACATTTCAAATTGGTGGAAATAACGTTTTTCGGAATGAAATGTAGACTCAAAAAAAAAAAAAAAACGTATTGACGTTTTTCCACAAAAATTGTCAAACGTATAGATGTTTTTTGCTATTTTAAAATATTGAAAATAACAAAAAAAAAAAAAAAAACTCTCTCTTTCTTATCTTCTTCTCCAAATGGGATTGCCATGTTAAAAGTGAAGAAACTTCGACCAACCATCGCCCAAATCGCCAAACCTCCATATCATTGAACCATCTGTTGATATTTTAATACCAAGAAGAGAGGCACCCTAGTGAGTATAGTCGATTGATGTGTTGGATATGACATAGGTCTCTTAGAAACAGGTGATGTCGCTAGTATTTGCATTCACAAGTTAGGTATTTTGGCTTGTAATTTCGAACAAATCTATTAGCATGAAGGTTTCAAGATTGGATGTTGGGTGATATGTGTATAGGAAAGCGGGGCTTTTCGGCTGCATGGCGATCTAGTAGTTTGGGTGGTGGTTTACTGAAATTTTTTGACCTCTAAAGTGGTTGACCATTTGGAGAAGCAGGGAGAGAGAGATTTTTTTTTAAAAATATTTTAATTTCTTCCCTAACGTAAATTAAGCATTCACCTTAGATTTAATCGAATTCGATCCAATTCCAAGAGCTCGAATTGAATCGGTATATACATTTGACACTTTTTGCGAAAAACGTCCCAACGTTTCAATTATTATTATTTTTTGTTTTTTCATCCCTATTTTCACTTTTCTTTGTAAAAAAATGTTATTTTCACCAATTTGAAACGTTGGGGCATTTTGTGCTATTAGACTCTTTAATAATTATTTGGATTCACTTTCACTTTTTAAAACATTTAGGAGTAATATTGTAATTTATTATTATTATTTTCGCTTTATTTAAATGAGAGGGTACTTTGGTAATTTTATATTAAAAATTGTGAAAATTACGTTTTCTGCAATGAAACGTTGAAATAAAGGCAAAAATGTTAAAAAAAATATATATGAATGTATTTCACAATAACATTGAAAGGTAAGGACCTTTTGTACTAATTACCCTTTAAACTTTTAAAAATATGATTTCTTTTAAGTTCTACAAAAGATTTCAAAGCCAATTCTACCCTTTTACCTTGGTCCTTTTTCAATTTAATGTCTGAATTGATGAGTAAAACATTGCTTCTAAGTGCCAATATATAAAGATCGAGATTTATTTAGCCCATGTTTAGTTAGAATTAAAATTAGATTTTTAACAAATTTTGATAAAGTTAATGAAATGTGCTGTTCAAAAGTTGTGAGTTATGTAAAATATGTGGTTAAAATTAATTATTGTCTTTGATTTAAATTAAATTCTAAATTTTTATCTCTAACAAATGGGCAAAAATTAACGACTTTAGTTAGACAGGAGATTGGCCGTTATTCCGCAATAGTAAAAAAATTGAACTTATTTAGAAATAAAGTAAAGTTCGGACCCTAACACAAAACAAATATATAAGTTAAGTGACCTCGAGCAAATTTTTTCCGTTCATACGCAACTCTGTGCAATTTTCTCTTCAAGTCAAACACTGCCTGCGCTGGTGATTTCTTCTCTCTCTACATAAAAACTGTTCTCCTGTTTTCTTCCCTTCCAAAATCTTCTGACTCTCCTTACTGTCAAATCTAGTCCTCTTTCAAGCTTTACATACTTTGATCCCTACACACATATATTTATTGTAAAGAGGGAAACAAGGATCGAAAATGCCGGGGAAGAATTTTATAGTTGAAGTGGAGCCAGCAAAGGAAGCAAGAGATGGAAAGCCGTCGATGGGACCAGTTTTTCGGAGTGCTTTTGCTAAGGATGGATTTCCAGAGCCGATTCCAGGACTCGACAGTTGCTGGGATATTTTCCGGTGATTTTTTGACCTTTTGCGTAATTTGCATAGTTTTATTAAATATTCATCAATGCCGGGGAAGAATTTTATAGTTGAAGTGGAGCCAGCAAAGGAAGCAAGAGATGGAAAGCCGTCGATGGGACCAGTTTTTCGCAGTGCTTTTGCTAAGGATGGATTTCCAGAGCCGATTCCAGGACTCGACAGTTGCTGGGATATTTTCCGGTGATTTTTTGACCTTTTGCGTAATTTGCATAGTTTTATTAAATATTCATTAGTTCATTTTCGTTTTGTGATTTTTTTGTTCTCAGTTTAATTGTGGAGAGGTATTTGATGAGTTTGTATTGAATCTATAGCACGTTTTTTTTTTTGTTATTCAAGTCTAATTGCATTTTGAATTGTTAAAAAGTCCACGATTTGTTGTGTGAAATATTAAACTTTGCAACCGATTTTGCTTACACTCGACAACATTGTCTGATTTACTAGTGGTTGCTAGTGGTTAAGTTTTTCTTTATGCTATGTATTGCGCGAAGCTGATGTTTTTGCTGTATATTTTGATGCACATATATATGTTAATTGTGTTCTAGAAACTACATAAATTGTGGTTTAGACGGTTGACTTTGGTCTTTGGATATGGAAGTTTTTAGAATGAAAGCAATGATGTGCATATATATGTTAAATGTGTTGTAGCAACTACAAAATTGTGGTCAAGAGAGTTGACTTTGATGGATATGAAAATTCTTAGCATGAAAGCAATGATCTTGACTACATAAATATGGATATACCCCAATTTGATTAGTTTTATGTGTATATAAATGTCACACATTTTTTTACCAGGAGAGCAACAGCGGTAATTTTTCATCATAGCCTAAGTGGCTGCCTTGATCTGAACGATCACCTGTGATGAGCTACCCTAGTCAAAGTGCATATACTTACCTATTTTTATTCTTCTGAGAATTGCTGGAATAATTGGTGTATGCTTTTATTCCGCCATTTGTTAGTGCCCAAGTTTATGCATTATTGCATCCCCAAGTCAGGTGTTTTCCCATTGAAAAGAAAAGAAGGATTAATTTGCTTGCTTGAGTTAGTTCCAATAGTTGACTTGAAGTATGATTGCTTTAAAGATACTGCTTTAACTATACTTCTTTGTTTTCAATGTTGATCATTGTTTGAACTGAACCTTTTTTTGTCACAGTTTGTCAGTAGAGAAATATCCAAGTAACCCAATGCTTGGTCGTCGTGAGATCGTTGACGGAAAGGATTATTTTTTTCCCCCCCCCCCCCCCCCCCCCCTTAATTATACCTAATTCTTGGACTTGTTGCTTTCACTTACAGCCCGGTAAATATGTATGGATGACTTACAACGAAGTATATGACTTAGTGGTCAAAGTTGGGAACTCCATTCGCAGCTGTGGCATTGAGGAAGTAAGTTATAATCTAGTGTGTTTCAAACTTTTTGCCATAGCTGCTTTCTAGCCTGTGCTTTTTTGTTTGATAAGAAATGAAATTCTATTAATTAAAAGGATATATTTATGATTTATGGCGGATTGGATGTCCTTGAGACCCAGGAAGAATTCTTACCAACTGAGAACGACTAGTGAGAAAGGAACTTAGTTCCTTCAGATGTTGAGGCCCATATGATGCCAAGAATTTTATCGATTCCCATTACTCAAAAATAACTTGCTTTTCTCTTTTTCAAAATTCTGCAATTGTTTTCTGTTTATATTACTCCGAAGGACAGCCACGTAAAAACTCCTTTCTTCCAGAACTGAAACCAATTGACATTTCAAGGAATAAATGAAACTAAGTCTTCTTCGTGCAATAATCTGCCCTGTAGCATCATTGCAACTTCACAATGTAAAAACAGACGATCAACACATGGGGATCCATTCTGCAAAGTACCCAGCATGAAGGAGAAGTAAAAAGACTTGGACACTTTGTGTGAATTAAATCACAAGCATTGATCTTCTTCTTCTGGGTTTTCCAGTTCTAATGTCATTTCATCTGTCATTCTGTCATGCATATTATCAAGCTAGATTTCCCTGTTTCAAACAAAACGAAGATGTAATCTCCTTAAATGGCCTTCCCTTATCCAAGTTCTTTTGAGGTATCTACCATTTAAAACTTGTTTCAAAGTTACCTTGTGAACAACCAGCTACTTTGGGTTCATTTTCTTACTTTCAATGTCATATCTTGGTACTTTATTTTCCAAACATAGCTTGGTTTGTTAACTTTGCTTATGGGTTATTAAAATAAGTTACTATCTGGCAAATGTTTGTTAGATTTCTGAGTCTTGACATTGTATTCTCTATTCTTTTTTCTTACTTTTGTTGTTCCCCCTGTATTGATTTATTTGACTTCTGCCTCGTATGACTCATCAATGTTGATTAAGTTTAATCTTCTTTAAAATACTATTTGAAATGCAAAAACTTAATTTCTCACTCTCTGTTCAATATAATAATAATTTTTAGGGAGACCGATGTGGTATTTATGGCGCTAATTGCCCGGAGTGGATTATGAGTATGGAGGTACTACTTTTTTACTATTTCTGCTCTTCCCCTTTCTCTGAATGTGCACGTGTGTATGCATTATGTTGTAAGTATCATCATGGGGGAAAAACATGTAATTCATTGTCCGAGGAATAACCTCCTTGATGTCGTTGTTGTTTTATGGGTCACATGACCTAATCCAAATAAACTATACTGCATTTATCATAACCAAATCTATTGTCTTGTCATAGTTTTGAGTTCTATATATATATATATATATATATATCATCTGTAAACTGGCTCTTGTTCGTAACACATATATTGATCACTTATTCACATTTACTAAGTTATGGAAAGTTCACAGAAAAGCACAAGATTGTTATTGCTTCTGCCCATGTATTTCAGCATTGGTTAGTTAGCCACCTAAAGACCTGTGCTATTTTATCACTCGAAATGGCACCTAAGGGAGGTTTAGAAATTTCCCCTCAGGATCATTTATATTGTGAATTCATGTAGTTTAACAATTTGGGTCTAATTCTTGATCTATTCCAAAAAATATCAATAACTTTTTTATTCATTATTATGTTCATAAATTTTGCATTCCACGCATTATAATTCTTTTGTTTATTTTTCTTGAAGCTCACGTCTTCTGTGGATTTATTAGATCCATACACTTGTTTCTTGTTTTCCTTACTCCTTTATCTTTCTGTTTCCTTCTGTGAGCTGTAAATTTTGAAAGCAAAATGTCTGCATATATGTTCTCTTATTCCATTTCTCTACTTCTATTTTTCTTTGTATCTTCTTCCCCTCTAAGAGTTTCTTGATTTTGTGATAACTTCTTTTGCCTTAGATGTCAATGAAATTGTTGTGAATATCTTTTGTAGAATTTGCTGCAATTTTTCTAACACCAACAAATTAATGCAGGCATGTAATGCTCATGGGCTTTATTGTGTTCCCTTATATGACACCTTAGGTATGGATCATCCCTTCTGTTGCATGCGTCTGTGAATTTATGCGCTAATAATAAGTTGATTTGTACCTCTGCCATATCACAAGACTAACAGACTTTTGTCTTTAGTAAAGTTGCCTTTGGAATGTCATTTCCCAAGAGGCCCAAGACAATAGGTTTTTATTAGTTCTGGATTTAGACTGATTCTTTTGTACAAAAACCTTCCATGTCCACATAGAACCCAATTAAATTAAATTGTTATTTCATATGGTTTAGGTGCTGGTGCAATTGAGTTCATTATTTGCCATGCGGAGGTTGCAATTGCTTTTGTAGAGGAGAAGAAGATTCCTGAGGTACGGTTGCTAATGTTAGGAATTTGATTGCACGACGAATTTTTCTCTTTTAGATTTTTATTTAAGGTTCTCATTTTTATTTTTATTTTGTACTCATGGTTTTCACTTTTATCTGTTTTCAATGATAGCCCTTTCTTTGATTCTCATTCTTTTAAAAACTTATTTTTTCAAAACTCATTTTCAACCACACATTCTTTAATAAAATAATTACACAAATCCAAAATTTTTCTTTAATTTTTAACCACATATTCTTTATCTATCTACTATTCAAAATGCATTATTTCCCCCAAAATGGGGATCAAACAAGGGCATAGTTATATGAACTATTAATTTTCTGTCTTTTATGGCTTCAATGGTTTTGACATTTTTCTGTGTATTTGTACTGACTCGTTGGACTAGGTTTTCAATTGTTCATATTTTGCTAATATGCATCTACTTTTTGCCTTGCAGCTGATCAAAACTCTTCCCAGTGCCACAAAATACTTGAGAAGTAAGTCTCCGACGATGTCAGATTTCTGTTTCATTATTGTTCATGGATTTAAATGAGAAAAATGATAGCATAAACATCATTTATTGTTCTGTTTCAGCTATTGTCAGCTTTGGCAAAGTCACTTCTCAACAAAGGGAAGAAGTTGAAAAATTTGGTGTGGCTATCCATTCTTGGGATGAATTTTTGTTATTGGTAAGCGTTTTGATTTCAACCTTTAATTTTTTTCTTGGTTGCTTCACTCATTGCTAACTATAGTGGAAGAACTGCTTATCTCACTACTATATGGCTGTCATTCTGAAATTATACTTCGTTTACAAGGTTGAACATTAGGTCATGTCCAGTTTGCACCTCCCATCGCCCTTATTTATTGCTTAGAAATATGGATAAGACGAGTCTCAAAGTCATTTTGTCCTAATTCATTTTCATCCATAAGCTTCCTGGATTTTGGTGCCTAAGTTGTCGAAATGTAAGCAAAGGTTTCTGCAATCTAATGGACAGAGATGGGTCAAGTAGTTAGTCTAGGATAATAGAACTTACATTATAGTGACACTAATAAGAAAATCCCTGAAACTAGTAGACTGATAGATAAGTGTAAAGTTAATATAACTTGCATACAAGATGTCAAATGGGTTGGAGAGAGGAGGAAATTGTTGGAGAGTAGAGATATAAACTTCATGAGCCTAGTTTGAAGAATCTCACCTTATAACTTAAGAAATTTGCAGAAGTTTTTTTGCTTCTTTTTGATGTTCCATGCCACTGAAATTAGATAATCTTGCTTCATTATTTTATGTTGTCTTAGTAAAAATTTTGGTTAACCTGAGGTGTTATGCATTGAATGTTTGGCTTGTGTCTGACTCTTATACCAGTAGTTAGAGGCTTGCTTGAGCTATTATGGATTCTTCTCTGGAAAATTTGCCATCTCTATCGGCTTTGATTGGGAAGATTACAATACCGTATTTACTTGTCATGTTGAGCCTTTTGCCTTCTCGTATTCAGCTTGCTAAACAAAAGAAAACTTTGATAACTAACCTATTGTATTTTTGATTTTTTTTTCTATTTATCTCTTTTGAATCATGAAGCATGTTGCTGTAGCTTAGGAGCTACAACTGTATCTGAAATACTTATCAGAGATCTTTTGTCTCCTTCGAGTACATGGGTGTGGATATTAGGTCCTTTACTTGGGATCCATGTCAAAGTTCCCATTTCTCTAGTCTCATGTGAAGAAGCCATTAGAAAATTTTATTGATCACTCGAGTGGTAGATTCTTGAAGCTCACGTCTTCTGTGGATTTATTAGATCCATACACTTGTTTCTTGTTTTCCTTACTCCTTTATCTTTCTGTTTCCTTCTGTGAGCTGTAAATTTTGAAAGCAAAATGTCTGCATATATGTTCTCTTATTCCATTTCTCTACTTCTATTTTTCTTTGTATCTTCTTCCCCTCTAAGAGTTTCTTGATTTTGTGATAACTTCTTTTGCCTTAGATGTCAATGAAATTGTTGTGAATATCTTTTGTAGAATTTGCTGCAATTTTTCTAACACCAACAAATTAATGCAGGCATGTAATGCTCATGGGCTTTATTGTGTTCCCTTATATGACACCTTAGGTATGGATCATCCCTTCTGTTGCATGCGTCTGTGAATTTATGCGCTAATAATAAGTTGATTTGTACCTCTGCCATATCACAAGACTAACAGACTTTTGTCTTTAGTAAAGTTGCCTTTGGAATGTCATTTCCCAAGAGGCCCAAGACAATAGGTTTTTATTAGTTCTGGATTTAGACTGATTCTTTTGTACAAAAACCTTCCATGTCCACATAGAACCCAATTAAATTAAATTGTTATTTCATATGGTTTAGGTGCTGGTGCAATTGAGTTCATTATTTGCCATGCGGAGGTTGCAATTGCTTTTGTAGAGGAGAAGAAGATTCCTGAGGTACGGTTGCTAATGTTAGGAATTTGATTGCACGACGAATTTTTCTCTTTTAGATTTTTATTTAAGGTTCTCATTTTTATTTTTATTTTGTACTCATGGTTTTCACTTTTATCTGTTTTCAATGATAGCCCTTTCTTTGATTCTCATTCTTTTAAAAACTTATTTTTTCAAAACTCATTTTCAACCACACATTCTTTAATAAAATAATTACACAAATCCAAAATTTTTCTTTAATTTTTAACCACATATTCTTTATCTATCTACTATTCAAAATGCATTATTTCCCCCAAAATGGGGATCAAACAAGGGCATAGTTATATGAACTATTAATTTTCTGTCTTTTATGGCTTCAATGGTTTTGACATTTTTCTGTGTATTTGTACTGACTCGTTGGACTAGGTTTTCAATTGTTCATATTTTGCTAATATGCATCTACTTTTTGCCTTGCAGCTGATCAAAACTCTTCCCAGTGCCACAAAATACTTGAGAAGTAAGTCTCCGACGATGTCAGATTTCTGTTTCATTATTGTTCATGGATTTAAATGAGAAAAATGATAGCATAAACATCATTTATTGTTCTGTTTCAGCTATTGTCAGCTTTGGCAAAGTCACTTCTCAACAAAGGGAAGAAGTTGAAAAATTTGGTGTGGCTATCCATTCTTGGGATGAATTTTTGTTATTGGTAAGCGTTTTGATTTCAACCTTTAATTTTTTTCTTGGTTGCTTCACTCATTGCTAACTATAGTGGAAGAACTGCTTATCTAACTACTATATGGCTGTCATTCTGAAATTATACTTCGTTTACAAGGTTGAACATTAGGTCATGTCCAGTTTGCACCTCCCATCGCCCTTATTTATTGCTTAGAAATATGGATAAGACGAGTCTCAAAGTCATTTTGTCCTAATTCATTTTCATCCATAAGCTTCCTGGATTTTGGTGCCTAAGTTGTCGAAATGTAAGCAAAGGTTTCTGCAATCTAATGGACAGAGATGGGTCAAGTAGTTAGTCTAGGATAATAGAACTAGGATAGGAACTTACATTATAGTGACACTAATAAGAAAATCCCTGAAACTAGTAGACTGATAGATAAGTGTAAAGTTAATATAACTTGCATACAAGATGTCAAATGGGTTGGAGAGAAGAGGAAATTGTTGGAGAGTAGAGATATAAACTTCATGAGCCTAGTTTGAAGAATCTCACCTTATAACTTAAGAAATTTGCAGAAGTTTTTTTGCTTCTTTTTGATGTTCCATGCCACTGAAATTAGATAATCTTGCTTCATTATTTTATGTTGTCTTAGTAAAAATTTTGGTTAACCTGAGGTGTTATGCATTGAATGTTTGGCTTGTGTCTGACTCTTATACCAGTAGTTAGAGGCTTGCTTGAGCTATTATGGATTCTTCTCTGGAAAATTTGCCATCTCTATCGGCTTTGATTGGGAAGATTACAATACCGTATTTACTTGTCATGTTGAGCCTTTTGCCTTCTCGTATTCAGCTTGCTAAACAAAAGAAAACTTTGATAACTAACCTATTGTATTTTTGATTTTTTTTTCTATTTATCTCTTTTGAATCATGAAGCATGTTGCTGTAGCTTAGGAGCTACAACTGTATCTGAAATACTTATCAGAGATCTTTTGTCTCCTTCGAGTACATGGGTGTGGATATTAGGTCCTTTACTTGGGATCCATGTCAAAGTTCCCATTTCTCTAGTCTCATGTGAAGAAGCCATTAGAAAATTTTATTGATCACTCGAGTGGTAGATATCCAGTTCAGCTGTCCTACTTCCAGCATGAAGAATTTTTGTTACCAGGATGATTGAAAAAGTTATTACATTATCCATCATGCATATTTTATGTGTTTATCTACATCATATTGGTCAATTTCATCCTAAAAAGTTGACTTGGATAAATTTGAGCTCTGATACATAGCTAGTGCACTGGGCGGGAAAACAACAGTGTTATTTGTTGCCGTTTTGTGTAGGTGATGTTTTATTGTCATTAGAAAAGAAAAACTTAAGTTTTAACCATCTGTATTATTTGCTAATCTAAATTTTTAGATCATAAATTACTTTCTATCTGAAAAACACACTGTTGCACGTGCTTGCTGCGTATACCTAAGCCTCCGTTTGGGAAGAATATATAACAGTTTAATTTATAAATAGATCGTGACAATCGGTAGATAAATGGATGGAACCTGTGGGTCCAATGGAATGTATGGTTGAAAATGAAGTTTGGCTATTTATAAATGATTTATAAATTTTGCCAAACATAGGCTAAATTATTCCTCTTCCATTTCAGCAATAGCTGTTAAGTCAACCAATATTATCTATGACACTTGGATTGATGGTGTTAATTAAATTTTGTGGTTGTGACTTGGGAGGAAATAGCTAACTTGTGAAGTGCTGCCTTTGAAAGCTGTCTTTCTGCCACAATTTATTTTCTAAATTTGTAGATCCTTTAAGGAGTTTAGCCAAGATACAAAACACGGGGACTGAAGCAATTTACTGAAGATCCAACTTATGGAGTGTGGATATTATTCATTTTTTGGTGTGTGGGTGAAATTAGGGAAGTGGGATGCTGAAATCCATTTATCTTTGCTGCTTGGGTTTATTCCATGAATCATTCACAATGGGGAAATACAATCTTTCTCTTGGTAGCATCTCTTGCATTTGAAAAGTATATAACTTTCTAATCTGAATGCTAGTTTGTGCATAAAGGTATATTGTTCATACTGTGTTGTTGGCCAACATTAATTTAATTCTAGAATCTAATGTTGTTTGATCCATTGAGCTTTAATATAATCTTTTCCTTCTCTTCTAGTTATTTACTTGTGTCATTTTTCTTCTAATTAGTTTGTGTTGCTCACCTGTTGCTTGACCTAATTATGGTACCTCTGTTATTGTGCAGGGAGACAATAAACAGTTTGATCTCCCGGTGAAAAAGAAAAGTGACATTTGTACAATTATGTATACTAGTGGAACCACCGGAGATCCCAAGGGGGTCTTGATTTCAAATAATAGTATTGTCACACTAATAGCTGGAGTAAAGCGTCTTCTAGGGAGTGTGAAAGAATCGGTAACTATTATATATTTACTTTCTGCTCATTGTCATCGATTAAGTTGATGAATACGATTAAAAATGTTTCATCCAATTTTCAGTCTAAATCGTTGAAGCAGCAATTATTTGATTGTTTCTAATAATTTGAGTACAAGTTTCAACTTCTTTTTTTATCTCTCAGTTGACTGTCAATGATGTATATCTATCATATCTTCCCCTGGCTCATATCTTTGACCGGGTGATCGAAGAGTGTTTTATTAATCATGGGGCCTCAATAGGATTTTGGCGTGGGGTAAGAGTGCTACATTTGTTTTTCGGTCATAACAGAGATTACATAATAATTGAATCATTTAACTTATCTGCAGGATGTTAAGTTATTGGTTGAAGACATTGGAGAACTAAAGCCTACTATTTTCTGTGCCGTTCCTCGGGTATTAGATAGAATTTATTCAGGTTTGTTTTGTGCATCCACATTTTAACGAAAATATTAAATAGCAGGTATTTATATTTTCTTCCACACGTGTGGAATGTTGAGAAATATTGTAGTGATGTTAGATGACGATATTGCCTTTTGACTGATATAAGTGTAGATAACCTACTGTGATGATGAAATCCAGTTTCCAACCAATATTAGTCCATGTTTCTGACTTAAATTTTCATCTTTACAAGGTCCACTTTTGGTCCTTCCTCATGCAAATAATTTACTTCTTGTCAAATAAGTTGTTAGGTACAAGTAATGAACTAACAAAAATGCCGGCATGACATTTTAATATCTGGAATGGAAAATGTGTGTATTCTGGGAGGGCAAGGCAACTTTCTGCTTGTTCATTCTCTAATGCAGTTGTAAAATTTCTCTCTGTGAACTGATACGTGGATTTTGTTGTCCTTGATTTCTGTGTACATCAGGTTTGCAACAGAAAATTGCTGCTGGGGGTTTCATTAAACAAGCATTGTTTAATTTTGCATACTCTTAGTGAGTTCTGTTCTAGCTTTCCTTTGTTTTTGATGGAAATTGAACTTGAATTCCTATATATCTTGAATTGTCCTTTCCAAGTGAACTGATTGCTGGCTTCTGAGCAAATCAGGCCAAAGTAAATTGTCAACGTGGTGCTGCAATCCTGTCCGTCCATTTCAACTTCTATTCTCGATTCCTTAACCATTTTGGTTTTCTGTTGTTCTGATACCTGCTTGTTAAAATTTATGTAGCAAGTTACGTAATATGAGGAATGGATTGAAACATTCTGAAGCGGCTTCACTCTGTGACAAAATCGTTTTCAGTAAGGTAGTGAATATATGCTGTCTGGACCTGCTATAACCGTGTTTAAATTCTCCCACTTTTCCACAAAAATATAACTGTGATTTATTTTGCATGCTCTTTTAGGTAAAACAAGGGTTAGGGGGAAATGTAAGACTTATTTTGTCTGGAGCAGCGCCTCTTGCCTCTCATGTAGAAGAGTATCTACGGGTGGTGTCATGTTCATATGTGCTTCAAGGATACGGTATTTTGCCTTCATCCTATTGAGTTATTGTCCACTAAAATTGGATCTTTTTATTTTTGTTCATGTAACCTTGACTTCTTGCTCCTGGTGAAGTGTATTTTTTATCTGTTAAACACTTCCAAATTATTTATTGCTCCCTTGCTTCTCAACGTGGAACCTGTCATGTTATTTTCCTGTAGAGGTGTCAGCTGAGAATTTCAATGTTGATTACTCAGTAAAGTTTTAAATGTTATATTTATTTTTGTTATACTAGTGGGCTATAATTACTCTCTTGAATTTCTGTTCTTGAAATAATGCAACCGGTCTCTTATCCTGATGCCCTAATATTTGTAAGATAGCTCCAGTTCATCAAGCAGTGTAAACCTTCCTTTTCTGGTTTTATATGGAAAATTAAATGTAGAGTGTAGCACATATTCAATTATTTGCCTCGTTATCAAATCAATATATATCATAAATTGTGTTGTAGCAAGACACTCTTGTTTAAGGGACAAAAGGATAGATTTTCTGTTTAGATCAGTCATAAATTGTCGCTTGTAGTGTATATGTTTGTGTAAGTGTAGTGCTGCTATCCTGAACCTGGAAAATCATCGATTGGCAGTTGTAATAGCAATTTTCCAGTTCACTAGATGGTATCTGACTTAATTTCTCTACTGTGATATAGGTTTGACAGAAACTTGTGCTGGTACATTCGTCTCTATTCCAGATGAGATGGACATGCTGGGTACAGTGGGTCCTCCAGTGCCCAATGTGGATGTGCGCCTGGAATCTGTTCCCGAAATGAATTATGATGCCCTTTCAAGTACTCCACGTGGAGAAGTGTGCATAAGGGGAGATACTTTATTTTCAGGCTACTTCAAACGTGAAGACCTTACAAATGAAGTTTTGATTAATGGCTGGTTTCACACAGGTTGGTTTGTTCTGGCACTAGTTCCTAATCAATTTGCGTACGGTACCAAATATTTTTTTCATCTTCATTCTGATAAAATTCTCTTTTCAGGGGATATTGGTGAGTGGCAACCAAATGGAAGCTTGAAAATTATTGATCGCAAGAAGAACATTTTCAAGCTTGAGGCTTATCCAGCCGACCCTCTATTTATAAAAGCATATACGGTAAAATAGATAGCAATCTTAAAATTATAGTGTAACTTTTTCTTTTTTTCTTTTTTTGTTTTCAAGAAAAAATTATTTATTTCTCCTCATCTTACATATTTTTTATATAACAATGACTAATCAAAATATGATTAGAATAGTTTCAAAGTAGAATATTGAAATCTATAACTTATTTAATGCATTCATTATAAAGTAAAATAAAGAGCGAGTTTGACTCTTCAAATTAGATGGAAGTTATGGATCGTTTGTGCCAAATTCCTTGTTTCTTGAAGAATCTCCAAGACTCTCTATTTATGAAGTGTTATCTTTTTTTTTTCTTTTTTTTATACATTTCAACAATGCTCACTATTTTGATTATTAATTTTTGCTATGTTTAAGAAATATTTATTGATTTCTCCTCATCTTAATTTAATATATTATTTTATATTATGATCAATCAATTTGAATATAATTCAAATAATTTAAGTAGTAGAGAATTGAAATATATGACTTATGATATAAAATCATTATAAAAGAAGAATGAAGAGTGAGTTTGGCTCTTCATATTTGGAGAGGCAAACCCACTCTTATTTTAAAAAGTTAAAATAAATTACCTCTTGAAATTTATTTTTAAGGATTCATCGAAAATTAAAAAACAACTTTAATCTTGTAAATAAAAATTAACATAAAATCTATAATTACTAACAAAATATTAACATAATTAGAAAAATTGAATAAAAAATAAATTTTTTTCGTTGGTGATTAATATTAACATAATTAGAAAAATTAAATAAAGAATAAATTTTTTTCGTTGGTGATTAGAGATTGAAGTACCATCGATGATTGCTAACGATATTATATTATGGGCTTTATTGTGTCACTAATTGTTGACCGATGTACATCCACGATCACTAATATTATGGTTGTCGATTTTTTCTTCCGAAGCATTAATTGATAGTTATTATAATTAGATATTATTGGTGATTCTGTCGATGAACATTCTTTTTTATTTCATTTCATTTCATTTGATTTTTTTTTTTATTATTCTTTAAAAGGTCCCCTTAAATAGTTTACTTAAGACATTAAAATTGTTTGATCGGTCTCTGCCGATAATGTATTGTGTCCACACTTTTTAATGACGGCCGATACTTCTAGTTGTAGATCCGTCTCTGCCGATAATGTATTGTGTCCATTTTTAAATGACGGCCGATGGTTCTAAAATTTAAATATTGAGATTGTTATCTTGTCATGTATATAAAATATATTTTTTCCCACAATGTTTTCGTAGCCTTTCATATTTGATTTCAATATCAGTACCATATCATTTTAGTTTTCACAAAAATCATTGTCGTACACATCACATGACTGATGCCACATGAGTAGCTTCCATATATACGAGGAATTTCATGCATTTTCACTGCAATTTGGCCTTTATAGTAATTGTCTAATTAAGAAATGGCAGCTAATGGTATGGTGCCCACAGTTTTATTTTCTGCTGTATCACTGTGTAGCTAATTCTGTCATCGCAGTTTTGAAAGAGTTCTAAGTGGCCTTTCACGGTGGCGCCTTTAAAGTTGCTGAGAAGTTTTCTTAAAGTAGAGTGTAAGTTGTTGACACAGAGGGATTGTAATGAATAAAATTAATGGTATAATATAAAATAATAAAGATCACAATAAAAAATAAGATTAAAAGTAAAGAAAAAAAAAGAGTTAATCGTAGAGGAACAATGTATATCAACTGACAATATGGAGAAAAATTACAGACATGCTTAAATAAAACTAATTGAGAAGTCTTGTATTCATAGACCACGTTTCAAACCATTGAAGAGTCCTAAAAGATAAGAAAATCTGTTTAAATTTGGTTACAATTGTGCATAGAATTTCGATCGAGAGAGGATTTCCTTATTCAACATGGATACAATTTTCCTTTCAAAATAAAAATCAAATAGGCAATCTCACAAGATTCCTAATCATATTTGAGTCACAAAACCTAACAATCTCCACCTTAACTTAAATTCCGGTGCAACGAGTAGAGCTCCACAAAATTTCTCCACCTGAGAAATAAATCTGTTTGCATCAAAATGAAATGGCTAATTTCCTCAACACAATAACCAAAACTCTCCATATAAATCATCGTCTTCTACACGACGTCCACAAGCGACACTTGAACCCTACTCTCGAGTTTCCAAAATTTCACCATTGAATTAATGTTTATTAAACAGGGTCGAAGCACACCCTGTAGAAGAAATCATACAAAATGCCTGAACAGAAGGTCCCTTGTTAAAATTATCGCCTTCAATGTCCTCAAAAGCATTGCAGACATAACTGACACCACGGTACCTAGGGATGTCAAACGAGCCAAGCGGCTCGTTAAAACTCGCCTCGTGGATGGCTTGGGCTTGTCAATTGACGAGCTCGAGCCGAGCAGGGGGTTCAATCCCACGAGCGGCTCATGGGCCATGTGTCCACGAGTCATTTTTTACGAGGCTCGTGAGCTCGTCAAAAAATATGCAAATTTTTTTTTTTTAAAAAAAAGGTCAAAAAATGTGCAAATTTACCCCCAAAAAAATTAATTTTTTTTAAATCTTGAGCTCGCGAGCGGTTCGTCGGCTCGGCCTGTGTGCTTATGGCTCGTGAGCTCACGAGCTCGTGGGTTAAAGGGCCAAGCTGATTGCCATCCCTAACAGTACCTACGCTCAATAGATCTAACCCTAGCAACTAAACACAGTGTAACCGCTGAAATTGGTGGCAAAGCAGAATCATCAACGCTCTTTCGAACAATGTTTTGAACCAAGCCAGAGCCCGTCATAAGAGGTACTGTACCAAACTGAATATCCACCACGATACTGAACTTATCTATATGTTTCTTAATTGGTTCTGCGCTCTCCTGCAAGATGTACAACTGAGACATTCTCCATCCCTCCAATACAATCCGGACACCCTTTCGGATCTTCAAGACTCCATTTACACTTGAGAATTTATATCCTTTTGCATCTAGAGTACTAAACGAGATGAGATTCCTTTTCAGGTCTGAAACTTGTCGAATCTGATCAATTGTTCTAATTGTCCCATCCCCCAGCCTAAATCTTACTCGACCGATCCCAATAATAGAGCAAAACTGGTTATTTCGTATTACAACTCTACCTCACTGAACAATCTCATATGTCTGAAAGAGATTCCGATTGAAACATATATGATGCGAACATGCCGAGTCAAGAATCCACTCCTCGCCAGGCCTAGATTTCACACTAGATACCACGATCAACATCACATCTCCGCCGTCTAAAAAATCTTCAACTACATTTGTTTCATCTGAAGTCAAAGGTTGCGCTCCATGATTTGCAGTTAAATCACCTTTAGCTTGCAACTTCTCTTAATCCTTCCGAATATGTTCCTTACATTTGCAGTAGAAACAATACAAATTGCTGTTATTTTTCGATCTGTCCCTCCGTCAACCACCATGAGATACATGAACCTCCTCATACGTTGATACTCCAACCAAATGCTTCAACTTCCCTTTGAGTGCAAAACATCGTGGACGTTGTCTATAGTAAAAATATCCCGACTATACAAAATGGTGTCCCAAAATGACGCATAAGAACCAGGCGGCGAACACAACAGGATCAAGGTCAAATCCTCTTCATCGTGCTTAACTTCCAATGTCTAATGTCTCAAGATCTACAACTATTTCCTTAAACACGGCAATATGATCCTCCAGTGACCCTCATTTCGCCAAGCGATGATAATACAACTTCTACTTTAGAGCCAGTTTGTTCGTGAAACTTTTAGTCATGCATAACTGCTTCAGTTTCAATCACAAAGTAGTCGATGTTTTCTCCTTCAAGACATTCTGTAGAATATTGTTGGATAAATGAAGATGGATCTGCGATAAAGCCTTCTGATCCCTTCGTTGTTTCTTTTCTATTGTCCAATCAGCTGGCATCTTCTCAAAACCCAGCAACGCATCCTCCAAATCTAACTGCGCCAGAATAGCCCTCATCTTTACTTGCCACAAAGAAAACATTGTATTGTGATCTAGCAACGAAATGTCATACTTCATGGTAGTCATATCTGAAAAAAAATCAACCAATCCACAGAAGAAGAATCAAGTTCTCATACCACTCTTTGGACATGGATGAATTGTAATGAATGAGATTAATGACACAATATGAAATAATAAAAATTACAACAAGAAACAAGATTAAAAGTAAAAAAGACACAAAGAGAGTTAATCGAATAGGAACTACATATGTTAACTAACAATATGGTGAGAAATTATAGACACGACAATAATGCTTAAACAAAACTGACAGAGGAGCCTTGTATTTATAGGCCATGTTCCAAATCCTAAAAGAATCATAAAAGGTAAGAAATCTGTTAAAGTTAGGTTACAATTGGACATAGAATTTCGACTGAGAGATGATTTTCTTTCCTTATTCAACTTTGATTCAATCTTCCTTTCTAACTAAAAATCAAATACGCAAAATAAATACTCGATGACAAGAAAACATTCAATTCTTTGCCAAATTGTCACATGCAATCTGTTCTCAATAACAAAATATTTCTAATTCTTCATTAATTTGACTCTAATAAAAACATGTTCCACTTCAAATTTTCGACACACCCCAAAGTTAGAAAGAAAATTTTAATTCTATAAACTTAATATGGTGTATGTGCAAGCATGAGACAAATTAGTGAGGATTCAGACCATTTCTATATGAGGAGAATGATTGTACAGCTTTAATAAAAAGTTTGAGATTAACTTATTACTGCTACGATGGATAGAGGACTAATATTGAAATTTTCCCAAATATTTGATCACCAGTCTCGATAAAGACAACTTTTTGGTACTTATAAATTGTTCGACTGACAAGGATGCAAAATGCTTAATTGACGTTGATAGTTGCATGTAAAATTTATTCATTTTATGTTTAGACAGGGAGCTTGACTAGAAACACACTATATGTACAGCAGGGCCGGCCTTGAAAATTTAGCGGCCCTAGGCGTATAATTATTATGGGACCCCTCAGTACAAAATTTATTTTACAAATCTAACAATATGTAAATATTTAAATAATTAACATTTTTATATTAGAAAGAAAACTTTATACAATTCAAAAGATAGAATAACAAAATAAAACTTCTTTCACAACTCGAAAGATTAGGCTAGCATAAGATTTAACCTTCTCACATTTGGAGATGTAAAATTAGTAATCAAACTGCTAATATCAAGTTTGTCCAACATATTTTTTTCAATAGAAATCATAGCTAATCCATTCAATTACTCTTATGACATGAATGCTCGAAGATAAGACTTAATCAACTTCAACTTTGAAAAACTTCTTTTGACAGAGGCAAATGTGACAGGAATAGTCAATAATACTCTATAAGCAATCCAGGCATTTGCATAACAACAGTTCATTTTCTTAATGTAATCCAATGCATCAATTGCTCCAAAAATGTTTGCAGATATCACTTCCCTTAAAACTTTCAATTCAGAAAATAGTTCTATTCCATCAATATCAGAAATCGTATTATGCTTCAAGTAATTTTCAAGTTTAATGCAAGAATACTTCAAAACACCATCATCAATAGATTTAAATCTTTTCAAATCAAACAAAAATCCAAAAATATTATAATATTTCTGAAATTGCTCAAATCTATTCTGAAGTGATGATAGAGCTTGATCCACTATATATATGAAATGATTGATCTTAAAAGATTTTTCAGTTGTTTGTGTTATCTCTTCAGAAGAAGTCTTATCAAACTGTTTTTTCTATGTATAACCCATTTTTCACGAAATATCAGTTCAATTTCTAATTTACTTGCAATCTCTTTAGCATCAACCATTGCCAATTCAAAATCAGATTCTCTATAACTCTTGAAAAATGAAATGATGCCTTTTAAATGGTCTATAGCAACATCAATATGTATGTCTTCTGCTTGTAACTCTGTTAACATTATTCAACACTTCATACCAAATAATCATTCCAAGTAAAAATTCAAAATTGTCAATTTCATATGTTGTCAAACACTCCGCCTCTTAGGATCATCAACATTTGCTAATTGAAGTAATACTTTTTTTTTTATCTGCGGAGCTTGAAATCTTATCGCTCTAACACTTTCAATATGACTTTCCCAACGAGTTTGTGACAAGGGCTTAAGGGTAAGACTAGTTACATTCTCTTTGAAAACTTTCCATCGTTTAGTAGATGAAGAAAATAAAGTATATATACGTTGCACCACCCCAAAGAAAGATTTAGCTTTTGAACAACAAATGACCATATCACAAAGTGCAAGATTAAGACTATGACATCCACAAGGAATGTAGAATGCTCTAGGATTTAGTTGTAAGACTATGACATCCACAAGGAATGTAGAATGCTCTAGGATTTAGTTGTAATAGTCTACTTTGAACTCCTTTATGTTGTCCTTTCATGTTAGCACTATTATCATAGCCTTGATCCCTTACATTATCAATATCAAGTTTTAGATTATTCAAAGCATCCACCAATTCCTCAAAAAGTCCCTTACCTGATGTATCATCCACTAATAAAAATCCTAAAAAGAATTCTTCAATCTTCACTGGACTTGTCGAAATATCTACACACCTCAATATCATTGACATTTGTTCTTCGTGACTTGTATCTGGAGTGCAATCAAGTATAACAGAAAAGTATTTATAAATTTTGAGTTTCTCAATGATTATTATTTTTATCTCGCCGCTAGCATAAGTATCAACTCATTATGAATTTTGTGTCCTATATAATGATAATGAATATCTTTATTTTTTATTCGACGAACATGCTCTTACATTACGAGGTCGAACTCAACAATCATTTGAATCATGCTTAAAAAGATACCATTATTTTCTTGATATATCTTCTCATTGTCCCCACGAAATGCTAAATTATTCTCAGCAAGAGTTTCCACCACAGATATTATTCTCAATAATACTTGTCTCCAGTGTTCTCTATCTCTATTGATTTGTTCTTGCACACTTTTGTCAATTGTTGTACTCTTTTCAAATCTTAATTCCATTTCTATCCATTTACTCATGTTATTGATGTGGTCACAACTTGGTTCATGCATTTTAAGTTTTTACCAATATTTTTCCAGTCATTTACTTCATCATGTGCCAATTGGGTTCTGATCCCATCATTCTTAAATAACTTACAACAAAAGCAAAATACTTAATCCAAACTTTTTGAATATATCAACCATTTTCTATCATACTTCTCTCCATTAGGTAATCGTCGAACGTAATGTGTGGATGAGAAGTGTCGATTTGCTCCATCTTTTGAAAAAATCATATCATTTTCTCTTACAGGACCTTTCATTACAATTAAATCTATTAAATTCGTATTCATATTTCCCCAATTTGCTGGATCAACAAGGTCAACAGAAAATGGTTCATTATCTTTGTCAGTAGATATCTCTTCATTCATCACACAATGTCCTTCTTCAATTATATTATTATTGTTGTCATTCTCATTTAACACTTCTTCAGTAGCTATGTCATCGTTGTGTGTTCATTTACTACTACCAAAAAACTTATCAAGTGCTCTCTCTTGAGATTTAATCAACTTTTCAATCTTTTCCTTCCTTTTTCTTTTGGCACATCCAAATTCAAATTTTCTCGTAGACATAATAACAAGTAAAGAGCGATAAAACCTGAATGATGAGTCCCAAAATGAAATGATTCAGAAATTGGTGGTCGCGGTGGTGATTGAAGTAGACAATGCTGCTGTAAGATGATATAGAACATAATTGAGCACTTTTATTCAAAAAATATGGAACATAATTAGAGCAATTTTATCCAAATTAAATTCAAAGAAAAAAGACATAAGATGATAAGAAAATGAACTAAATAACTAATAAGATGTACTTTCACAGACATGTATCTATAGAGAGGCAACCCACAATGAATTTTGGAAAGTACTTTTCCGTCTATCTGTAATCTACCTCGAGCATGTTTTGGGAATGCTTAAAAGTTATTATGAATATGATGTTTGACATGATAAGCAACTTAAACCAAAAGCGATGTTTGTATAATATTATAAGGCAACTAAACTAGGAGGTTATTAACTTTAGGCTGAAAGTAAATTATTTGGTTTAGCTATAGATTCTAGTGGTAAGTTGTTTCATAATTCAGTCTTGTAGAATTCAATTTTCAGAATGATTTTTCATGCCTGATATGATGGAAATTTATGTACCAAATTTCAGATTTTCGATGGGCATAACGGAAATGCTGCTGAAATTTTTTCAAGGGATCATTTATTGAATTATGTTTTGGGTGCTATTCAAGGACCTGAGGGAAAGTACCTGTTGGCTGTTGCAAAGAATTAAAATCACAAATTGCTCATAAGTTTTTCAAATCCTTGTCCCAATCACTTGTAAATCAGTAAATGCTTTCTGTGTGAATCAATGGCAATAGAATCAACATATCACCAAAATTAGAATCCCATTTCCAAAACATTAATAAGTTACTGACAAACCCAAATTAGCACATTGTACCACCTACTTTTTGAAAATGAACTATAACTAATAATCTAACTTCGGGAACAAATCAAGAGAAGTACACACAACTTCAATTAAATTTGGAGCATGCTATAAGGCGAGTTGATTGTACACTGTGAATAAGACATTTCGCATAAGCTAACACATACTCACTAGAGATATTAGATTGTCAAAATATCATGAAATACAAATTAAAATCGCACTGCCTAGAAAACTTCCAATCCCATTTATTGATTCACAAAAGCTTGAAATTAGCTTTAATAAGTTTAATCTATTGAATACCATGGTGAAGTCTGGAACGATGCAACTAATTATGAAACCAAAAATGAGAAATCGGAAATCATTACTCAAAGAATCAAAGGCAAAGCATTGAAAGCAACTAAGCAAGCAAGGTCGGAATCTCTGATTGGGACTGGAAACCTACAAATTCAAATAATAAAAGTGAAAAAGAGGCTCAACCTATTCTACCGTCTGCCGATGTTGTCGAAATTTTTGCAGTCGGACCGAGTCGACTGACTTTTCACCCCTCACTACCGGTAGATGGTAGTTTTAATTTAGGGATTAATTCTACCTTACCTTGTGGCGGAGAAGAGAAGACGAAGAAGATTAAAATGGGAAAAAAAGAATTTATGGAGAAAGGCGGTTCGTTTTCTTGTGCCAATTTTTTTTTCCTTAACAGATGAGGCCCCCTACAATTTGAGACCCAAGGCAGTAGGGTCGGCACTGATGTACAGGAACAAAAGAGGAAATTTCACGGGATGTCCATTTTCACCAAGTCATTTGCAAAAATGTCCATCATTGCAAAAATGTCTATTTTGAAAGAATTTAGACCAAAATATCCTTATTAACAATTTATAATTCCACACTAAGACAAAGAAATAGACATTTTTGCAAAATTATTATTGGCCAAAATTTTTTTGACACATAAGCTGCCATATTTATTTCAAAAGCATACATGTCAAATCACAATAGATGCTATATTTTTCATTGACTCAGAAATGTCGAGAACTATATTTCAAATGTAGAGAAATGTCATATTTAAAATTAAATGTCATTCTAGACAAATGAAACGGTGTTCAAATGTCGAGAAACATTATTTTAATGTAGCTTCTCATAAAAAATACTTCTTGAAGTTCGTGACAAATTGAAAAAAAAAAAATCAAATGTCAAGAACTACATTCAATTGCTCCATTTTTCATTAAGGGTATAATAGACACTTAGTACTAAATTCAAATGAGTGGACACTTTTCAACTCAAACCCTTATAATTGGACATTCTTGAAAATGCCTCGAAAAAAAATATACAGAAATCCTACGGAACACACAGTTGCAGAGTGGATGGTTTTCTTTTTTTTTGGCAATAATTTATTCACATGGGGTCCATGAGAATATGTATGAATTCTGGTAATAGAATTTCTGTACACATGGCTTTTGTGTCTTGACTATGACGATACATGATTTGACTAAGTTGAAGGTTTTTATGGGTGGTAAATCTTTATCCACATGAGTGCTTGATTGTATTTAAAAATTTGTTAAAATTTATTTCATTGTCTTTGAAAGTACTTTTTTACTTTCAAAATTCACTTTCACGAATTCTTACAGAAAGTGATAACATACCTAATAAAGAGGATAACAGGCTCATAATTACCAACATGATAAGTGGGGATCTAGGAATTTAGTTAGGGGCTGAAATAGTGACGAACCAACATATTAATGGTGTCGACATGTAAAAGATGCCATGTGGTGTGTTCCCTTTTTCAACGGTTGGAAATATTAACAAGACAACAATAATTCAAAAATCTAACAAAAAAATCAACGAGACAACAACGTTTAAGAATCAGTCGACAAGATATTAGCAATTCAATAATAAGCTGACAAGATAATAACAATTTTATATCAATATAAACTATTATCAATATGCTCAAAAAAAAAAAAAAACCCGGAGGGAGAGAGGTAACAGCAAGCATCGTACTTGTTGATAGTTATGCGTGTCAAAGTGTAACCCATTGGCTTGAAATTATTTGGGGAGGTTCGTTTGATATTCAAAAATTGTTCAGCAACAATCGGACAAATTGAGAATGTTGGGGTGAATCAAGAAAGTTTGGGTAGCAATATGAAATAACTGACAATCTATTTACCAAAAGTTAGATTAAAAGATGATGTAATAAGAAAAATCATATTTATAAAGCAAAATGTAGCCCTTCAGTCCCTTTGTTTCAAGTTTGGAGTTGCTTCTTTTTCTACTACATACAATCATACCAAAAAAATAAAAATAAAATTAAAGGGTGCAGTAAAAATAATTTTTGGAGCTTCTGCTTCTTCTTCAAAAAATGAAAAAAAATAAAAATTATTGAAAATTATAATAAATATGAATCACAAGTTTATAAGTTGATGTGTATTATATTTTTAATTTTCATTTAGTAATTGAATTGAACTATTACATATTCTCGAATTTTCCTTTTTAAAAAAATAAAATAAATCCAAGGGTAGGTTCAAACTCGGCCAATGCATTTCGATAAATAATCAAAAGTTGGCCATTTTTGGGATATAAATTAGGTTGTTATCGATTTCATGACTATGAAATTGAAATGATGGACTTGGAACTTAGACAAGGATTGCACTTATATTTGAGCATGGGCTAAATTAAAATAAAATAAAAAAGAAAAGAAAAAATACGTAACTATCAAGGTTTCAAAATAAAATTTCAAAAATATTATAGAAAATTTTCAAAAATATGGTGGCACATTTTGTGACCTATAATTTAATTAAATATGTTACGGTCACAATAATACATAACCCTTGTTTGAGTTTCATTTTTCCAAAAATTCATTTTCAACCACACATTTTTCAATAAAATAATTTTACACGTAAATTGAAACTTTTTTTTTTCATTTTAATCATACATTCTACAAAAAATCACTATTCAAAAATACATTTTCCTCCAAAATAGGGTTTAAGGCGTGATTTATAATCACAATTACATACAACTACTCGTCACAAATCACACTAGGTCACAGTCACAAAAATAATTTGTGGATCACAATTAAATATTTAGTCGCAATTCATACATTTTACAAGTCACAAATTACCTAATTAACTGATCACAATCTGTTCATCTCTCCCCATTCCACTCCACCATTGTTGGCACCATCCAAATCGTCACCTCCACCACCTCAAATCATCCACCACCACCACTCCAACAAACCCATTTACACCTTTTTCCCCCATCACCCCAATTTCCATTACCACCTTCGACTCCGGTACCTTCGAGGTTAACTCAAAATTACACACACAAAGGCGCATACACTTTTGTACACGTTATTCTTCTCCTTTTGGTACCCATTTAACACCTCTACCATTACTTTCCCTTTGGCTCCATGTGATTCTAAGCAGGAATAGAGCCGGTTTATCTACATGAAGTGGAAGACATGAAATGGATGAGGCGCTGATTGGTGAGCTGCTGGAGACTACTTCAAGATCGAGGGATAGCATTTTAGTGACAATTAGATTTAGATCAATGAGGTGAATCAATTAATGTTATATTTTATTGGATTAATTATAGATTTATTGACTTTCGAATTTGAGAAATGTTGAGTTGGTGAATGGTGGGTGTTTATAGGCCATTGTGGGAGTGGTAAGGATGGTGGGGTCGGGTGTTTATAGGCGATAGTGGGAGTGGTGGTAGCAGCTACGACAAGTGAATGGTGAAGGTGAAAAGTTGATCATAGATTTGTGAATTGGAAAGACCAGAAAAAAGGACAACATGATAGGTGGGATGGGGGTTTAGTCTCTTTGATTTTTGAAAGAATAAACTTAAATTCTTATTTTCGAAATGGTAAGTCATAAAATAGGGGTGGATGTAATTTCCTCAATAAAAAAAAAATAATAATAAAGGCCTAATATCGTGACGAGACAAAGATGATAATTATCATCTCAATCTCACATCGTCTTCTTGCCATCCTTATTTAAAACTAATATGTAATAATTTATTATATCTAAAATACATTGCACCTACACATACATTGCACTTACACAATATTCTAATACTCTGTAGATGTCATAAACTACCTAAGTGTGGAAGGTTTCACATTTCACTTATCCATTAAAGGCCTAATATTCCAAAATGAAACTTCCATCTCACATGTAACTATACACCTACGTGCTTAACTGTGCGCTTTTGGATTTTCAGCCTACCTTAGAGCAACTCCAAAAAATTGTATATTTTAAAGAGTATATTTAGCAATTTAGAGAGTAAAATTTTTCAAATATTCCAATAGACCCTTTATCTTTAACGTTTAATTTTACTGCTCCCAAAAAATATTTATTGTTTATTGTATATTTTATTTTCACTAGCTTCTCTCCAAATTATTATATTATTTTTCTCGATTCAAAATTGAAATACTTTAAATACAATTCATTCATTATAGAGTATGAGTTTCACTCTCTATTTTAAAATGTTAATTTAAAAAGTTTCTTGGAACATAATTTTAAAGTTTTGACTCTTCAAAATAGAAAGGATTTCAAATTTGAAGAACTTTTTAAAGATGCTCTAAAAATTCAAGTTCTCACACTTAAATAAAAGGGAAAAGTACGTAGAACCATTCTTTTCAAGATTGCATTTCAAAAATATGTGGGGTGAAATAATCAGGTGTTAAATACTAATTTTTAAATTAATTAAAACAAATTAATTGCACCCACGGACCCACCCACCCACTCCCTGACACTTATTTTACCCCCCCAAACCTCGATTTATGTCTAACCTACAGACTTTCTCTCTTCCCCAAAAATCTAATCGGCACTCTCTTTCCCAAAAATCAAATAGACTGCTTCTTCTCCACCCTATTCTCTAGATTCCGACCACCTACCACCGGAAAGCACAACCACCACCAGACTGTCGCCACCAAGCTCTCCCCCTTCCCTTCTCCATCCTTCGTTCTCTGTTTGTTGGGGATGACATTGCACCGTGCCACCGTCGCCTGAAGTGGCCTTTGACAGTCCGGCGCAATGGTCAACGTGTTTAGTTTCTGGAAAATGTGTTTAGGAAAAAGGTGATGCACCTTAATTGATTAAAGGTCTTGATATTAGGAAAAAGGTCTTTTAGTTTCTGGAAAATGTGTTTTTGGTATTTCCTCTTGTACCAGTGTGTAATAAATATTGTTGTAGATGGAACAAAGTAAAAGGAGAATGCCAAATCTTTTCCAGAAGAGGTGTTTTTATATAATAATAGATTTCTAGGCAGGCTTTAATGATTTAAATGAGCACATTTTCTGGTGCAGAACAACAGGACCTCGAGTAAAATGCTATAAACTTGGCCTGCAAAATGTTCGAAGTATGCATTTAAATTTTGCACTTTTTGGTCTTTTTTAACATAACTGGTGGCCTTGTTCTACTTTGTAATATTTGGTTACTACAATTGGATTAATTAGTTGTTGTACTAATTTTTCAACATATTTGGTTGCTGCAATTGGATCTTCCTCTGCAATCTGATGTTTTGTGTATGGTAGTAGATGGCTTAATCTGTGGTGGATGGAAATCGTTGCTTGTATGGACGATGGCGATACAGATTGTGAATCCGGTGTTAGGAATGGTGGTGAGTGACCGAATCTATCTTCATTGTGACCGTCTGTGACCAGATTTGTATTAACCGTGACTGTATGTGACTTGGTCACATATGATCACAAATTAGACTAACATGGTCACAGACAATCACAATGCAGAAAAATTTGGTCATGAACACATAAGGTCACAATTCATACGTTACGGATCACAATTCGCCGTTCTGGTTACAGGTTTGAGTTCACAATTCAGTAGGTCACATTGTATGTTACTAGCCACAGCCTGATTAGGTCACAGATTCAATAGACCTCACAAATCACAATTTGCATAGGTCATAGATCTAATGGAACTGGTCACAGGTCAATACCCAAAAAGAAGAAAAAAAGGTAGGCTGCCGGAGAAGTGAGCGGTCATCGGAATAGTCACTGGAACGGACGTCGTCGGGGAGGTCGCCGGAATATTCACGAAAGAGGCCGTCGGAGCGGCCGTCAGAGGTGGGGTGTGGGTCGCCGAAATTGTTCGCTGGAGTCGAAGCAGTCGTCGGAAAAGTTGCCAGAGGTGGGGTGGGGGTCGCCGGAGGTGAGGTGGGCTAGAGAGAGAGAATGTTTTGAGTTTAAAATTTGGTGTGATGGGCGGGGTGGGTTGGAAGTGGGTGGCGTAAGTAGATTAATTATATTATATTATAATAAAATATTTATTAAATTTAATTACCATATGATTTTTGAAAAGTTTTAAAAGGTTTGTTAATTTTGAAATGTGCTTTTTAAATGAAGGAATTACGTGGTGTTCCCTCAATAAAAACCTTCCATAAAGCCCAATAGCTCATGCCATGTGACGTTTTCACAACATTGTCAAATTTCATTTTCAATAAATTTTAAGGCTCATTTCTTTCTACTTAGAAAAGGCAATATGAAAGTTTGCGTGAATTTTAATGCATAACGAAACATAGTCCTTGTTTGGTCTCCATTATTTTCAAAATACATTTTTCAATAAAGTAATATTACACGTAAAATCAAAATTTTTCATTATTTTTAATCATACATTTTTCCTCAAAATGTTATTTTAAACAAAAACATAAGGCTCAACGGTATGTTAGGCCTTGTTTGAACTCCATTATTTTCTCATTAAAATGTAAAATATGATCGTTATTCATCACATTAAATCATTATATTTGATTTTTTATTTTGTGTGAAGTTCATAATAACTATATTTTTCATTCTCATTTTTACTTAGACGGAAGAGTAACAAGTTCAGACGTATGGTACAAAATAAAAATTTACTTTACAAGACTTTTCGCTCAGGTTATTCTATACATCGATAACTTGTGATTCCGTTTGCGATTGGTGAAAACTGTACAATTGCTACGTGGCACTTTTTCAACACATCTGCAGAGCCAACAATGCATAATGTGACCAGCCTAGTACTGAACACGTGTCAAGTGTCAACAGCAGTTTACATTCGATGATTAATACTATTCACGGTAGTTTACTGCTATAATCGTCCCACGTCACATTTCACACGATAATTTGTGATTTAATCTATTAATGTGATAAATTTTTCTTGTATTATATATCAAATAATGAATTATCACATATTGGCGGGCGACCAACAGTCAGGACTTCAAATAGAATTATTCTTCTTTAACTTTTGGAGGAAAATGGTTGCCAGAGAATGATGCCGAACTCCGGCAAGACAAGCGCATTTCATGCCAAGAAAGGGCGAAAGGCTCACCTGGGGAGACTCAAATCTAAACAACCGATGTTGGTGACTTCGAAAGATGAACTTGGCTCATCTGAGTGTTGCGGCAGTGCTGGGACGGGGGAAACTGGTGGCTGCAGCAGCGAGGAAAAGTCGGAGGATCTGAGATTCGGGCACATATCAATGATGGGGAGGAGGAGAGTAATGGAGGATGCAGTTTCTGTGGCGCCGCCTAGAAAGGTGGGAGAAGAGTATGCTTTTTTCGCGGTGTACGACGGCCACGGCGGTTCTAGGGCTGCGGAAATATGCAGTGAGAGGATGCATAAGTATCTTGACAGGCACGTAGAAAAGGCAAAAAAGTCACCGAAGGAAAAAAGTTTGAATTGGGAGAAAGTGATGGAGGGATGCTTCAGAAGTATGGATGAAGTAGTGGGGAAGGATAAGAAAGGGGATGATGAGGTGATGGAGGGTGCTTCCACGGTGTCCGAGACGATAGTAGGATCGACGGCGCTGGTGGTTCTGGTGGGGCCGGAGGTGGTGGTCGCGAATTGTGGGGATTCAAGAGCGGTTATTTGCTCCGGTGGCGTTGCTGTGCCATTGTCAAGTGATCATAAGGTGACATGTCCTTTTATTTTATTTTTTTTCCCTCAAAAAATTATTTATAGTTTATAACAAGGTTTTGTTTGTCCATTTATGCCCAGTTCATGATGTGGATTAGACCCGATTATGTCGAGAACGAAAAAAAAAGAAAGTCAAAATTTTGTCAGCCTAATACAATAGCGTGAGAATTGCACAAATTCAACTCACGAGTTAGAACATACTTTCTTTATCACATAGGGTACTGCTGATTACCGTGAACAAAAATTTGACTGATTTTTCTTGTGGATTTGGCTCGATTGTGTTAAGAACCCAAAAATAAAAATAAAAAATAAAAAATAAAATTCAAAATTTTGTGTAGTATACTCTCCGATATAGTCTAATACTATAATGGCCGTGTTTTACGCCCACGGCACCAAATGGCACTCTGGATGTGGCCCCGGACAAGTATTTTATCCATACTATAATTTTTGAATTGCGCAAACTCAACTCACTAGTTAATGAAAATTTTCATATAGGGTATTGCTTAGTATATCCAGAAAAAATTTCGATTCGTTTTTCTTAATTAAGATGGTTCAATGCGACATGCTAAACATAGTGTGTATATATCAAAACTTGAAGTAAATTTCCAGGTACCATATTACAATGTGCTTGTAAGCCACTTCTCTTATAAAAATCGGTTTGGTTTGATACGTTATTATGTAATTGGGTGTTTGGTATCTAATCTTAGAACGCTCTCAAATGTCAAATAGACAAGAAACTTGCATTCAAGAATTTGATTCACTATACCAATAAGCCATAAGGGTATGTTTACGCTAGACTAGATATGAATGCACGTTTCTGTTTTTTAATTCCGTTCAATCTTGTCTAATGATCAAGTTTTGCTTTGCTGATTAAAAAACAAAAAAAAAGGTTGAACCCCAACCTTAAGGGCCTCTAACGCCCCGCCCTGTCCCTAGAGTTTTCTGAGGGAGGTAAATCGCGAAATGTGCTCCTTTATACTTGTATTGTATGTAAAACGCAAATGTTATTCATCATCTCACGCCATTTGTCTTTGGCCTCAAACACAGCCTGATAGACCTGATGAGAAGGAGAGGGTTGAAGCTGCAGGGGGAAATATTATAAATTGGAATGATTGGCGAGTCGAAGGAGTGCTTGCTACTTCGAGATGCTTAGGTACATTTATGGCTTCCTTTTTTTGGCAGACTAATTTACTTCTCAAAATATAATTGATTGCTAGTTAATCTGTTTGCTTTTTGTAAACCTGTTGATCCCTAGTTAGAGGGTATTTGATGGGGATTATTTAATTAGAGTTTTTAATAGATTGTAATAGAAGTTTTTGAAACGTGCGGTTGAAAAGTTGTGGGATATATGGTTAATATTGTTTGACTTTAACTTAGATTAAAATCAGATTTTAATCTAAACCAAACAAGCGCTTAATCTAATTTTCGTTAAATGCATACTTCTAACAACACAGGCAAATCGAACTTCCATTTTATGTTTTTCGGGAGCACAATTGTGCGCATGTACTTCATTTATTGTGTAACACATGAAGAATATCAAATCACTTAAAAGATAATTGCCATTTGGAACTTAAATAGTATATCCTAAGACTAGATAAGTTAATAGTAACATGTACTGAAAAATTTGACGGCAATTCTATAATGTCACAAGTTTTAAAACTGAATGGAGCGAATACGTATACATGTTTTGTAAACGACCTTATGTTACTAGCTTGCTTAGGCGATGGATCATATGAAGGTTCGATTGGTACATAAAAGACTGATCTCAGTAAATTCAAGAGAAATTTTCTACGAAATGATAGATTGATGAGGTTGTTCTTAACAGGTAACCATCATCTGAAGCCCAGCGTAATCCCTGATCCGGAGGTCAGTATATACAAGAGAAAAGAGTCGGACGACTTCCTTATAGTGGCAACAGACGGTCTGTGGAATGTAGTCTCTAACGATATTGCGTGTGACATTGTAAGAAGATGCCTTCATGACCAAACTACGAGGCCACTTCAAGGGGGAAGTGGCGCGGACGTGGCAGCATCAATGCTAGCCGAGTTGGCCATTGCTAAGGGAAGCAAAGACAATATCAGTATAATAGTCGTCCAGCTTGACTGAATCGACCAGGCCATGTATAGTTTTGTGTTTTTTGGTTTCTTTTCAGGTTTGGAGTTGTATTGCATGTGAGCATTAGAGGTCAAATGTATAGGTGTTACTTCTTCCTTAAACTAGATAAATCTCTTAAGAGGTTTCTTGGTGCAATAAAGATTTCGAGGGGTCGGCCAACTGTACAGGAATCAGCTAGAGATTTCTTACTTGTGCTAATAGTTTGTCGATGTTTGAGATCTTGACGTTTATGCAGGCTTTCGTCTCTCTGACTTGTAGAATCATGCAATGCAAACTATGAAACTAATCATACAAGTTTAAAAACGCGTTTCGAGTTGTTCCTTGGATGCCTGTTCGCCTAGGTTCGGACGATTGTAGACTACAGTCGTAGAGCGAAAAATATTGCGACTACACAGTAGTGAGATCTGTAGCAGGCACTGAAGTGGCCGAGCCTATAAGAGTTACTGCTCACTGCACCTAGATTAATGGATTGGAGGCTTGTTTCTTCAAGGAGAGGCATGATTCTGTTTCATTTGGAGTGAGGTTTAGTCAGATTAAGTTTCCAACTGAAGTTATCTAATGTCTTCCATTGAAAAATGTTAAGCATGTAGGAAATGTTTGGTAAGGTAGACTAAACTTGTTCTTCAACATCTTATGTCCAATCCTTGACTAAACTTGCATTCCTGAGGCTTCTTTCACCTATTTGGGGAATTTACACAAATGTCACTAAATATGAAAATGCACAAAAAAATTTGTCTTGCACAATTTTTTTGCAAAAATGTCACTTTTTCCCCACAAAATGTCCATATTACCCTTTGACACCTTTTTAGGAGCAATAAATGCTTGATTTGAATACTATTAATGGTGTGATGTGATTATTTATTTATCTTTATTGTTAATATTGAAGAAATGAATATTATATTGTATAATATGAATTTTTGATTAAAAAAATGGGTGAAATGTGTACAAAGAGCACACACAAGTAGGAGTTGAAATAGCTTCTTCTTCTTCATTATCCCCCTTTCATTATCAACAAGGCATGAAGGAAAGCTATTGATCAATTTCAAATGTGAGGTAGTAGAAAAGAAATTTTTGCATGTCATACTTGAGTACTTTAAATATTCAATAAAACATGGTCAGAATTAATTGTCCATATTTCATCTCTTATTCATTGGTTTTTTATTCTTGGTATATTTTAGAAAGGGAATAAATACCAATATTCTCAAGAAAATGTGAATCATTTTATATGTAATTCTATATTTAATGAAGTATTGAGTTATACTTTCTTTGTGTGGGGATATCAGTTGAAGTTGTAGTTGAGAATTGATTATGACCATTAATGTGTTGCAATAAATTCCTGAAACAGTAAAACACATTTTTTTGTATGCTCCCCGAAACTTATGCCGGTCAAGTGTTGAGCAGTTTCGTAGAAACTGTCGGGTTAGACATTTGAATTGTCGAAATCGACATTTAGTAACTGTCGGGATGAGCAGAGAATTCAATCGTCGATTTTGACACCCGAAAAGCTCTCTTTTTGGTACTACATGGATCAAAGTATTGTAATGAGCCAATTTGACTGTATTAAATCTTTCGACAAAAATGTGCAGAATTATGACTTTTGTACTTCCAACATTTCAGGTATGGCTGAGAATCTGAGATTCATCGTGTCGCATGGGGGGAACTTTGTTCATGTGGATGACAAATGGAAGTGGAGAGGGGACAAAACGACTTCCATTTTAGCGCCGAGAAACATTACCGTAACAAAACTTGTATTAAGATTGAAGGAGAAACTTGGTATTGTTGAACCCCGCAATGAAATTGAGTTGAAGTTCAAAGTCCCGAATTTGAATATACCTCAGGCAGAGATACACAACGATGAGGACCTAAAGTGGTACATATCTATTTATAAGGAGACTGCACTCTGCGTCACTATTATGGAAACCAAGGTCTCCAGTGTTGACATGGCGAGGGAAACAAACTGTGTAGAGAACCGGTTCGGCCTAACGGAATGTCCCCAGACTTTAAGAAATGGTGAGGTCAATCATGAGCATAGTGGGTCGAACAACGAAGCACCCGCACATTCAATTGACCATATCGAGGTTGCAGCATCCGTTGAGCACTTAGAGAACCTGTTACATGGTACGAATGATGCTATTATTGCTGAAATTGACCAGCCTGTGTCATCACATTCCATAAGTTTAGGCACAGATGAGTGGATGGCAGCCGTCGTTCTCGCCGAAAAGTAAATATTCTTTAACAAGAAACAATTGTACTCGAAGATTCGTGTGCTTGCTTTGCAAGAGAAGTTTCAATTTCAGGTGAGCAGGTCAAGCATGAAAATGTTAACCGTTGTATGTGTGGATGATAATTGCAAGTGGATGCTATGTGCTTCTACTGTCAAGCAATCTGCAATTTTCATGATCCGTAAATTCATCAACGTGCACACATGTTCCCTTGATTTTCGTCGTAACGCACATCGGCATGCCACTAGTTCTGTAATTGCCGAGCACATTGTAGGCAAACTGGATACTCCAGGTCGATCGTATGACCCTACCGCTATTGCACGTGATATGGAACGTGAGTTCGGTGTGAAAATAAGTTACAACAAAGCTCGTAGGGGAAAGTTTCATGCCTTAACTATGCTACACGGTACACCGGAAGCCATTTTTCAGAAATTGTCTTCATACTGCCACGTCGTAAGAGAGAGTAACCCGGGGACAGTAACCCACATAGAACTCGATTCTCAAAATAGATTTCATTACTTCTTCCTAGCTTTCGGTGCAAGCATTCGTGGTTACACGCAGTACTTGAGACCCGTTATTTGTGTTAATGGCAGTCATCTGAAGGGTCCATACAAAGGGACACTTCTACTGGCAACTGCTCAAGATGGTAACAAACAGATATATCCGTTAGCATGGGGGATTGTGGATGCTGAAACCAATAAATCCTGGAAGTGGTTTATGTCCAACTTGAAAGAGCTTATAGGGGACTCCAAAGATCTCGTATTTGTTTCAGACAGAAAAAAGAGCATTGACAAAGCTATTACTCAGTTGTTTCCGTTGTCTCACCATGGTTGTTGTATCTGGCATCTCGAAAAGAACCTCATACAGTGGTACAGCAACGCAAGTGCAATACTTTTATTCAAACGAGCTGCTACGACATATCGGGTTGAGGACTTTGAAAGACTCATGGGACAGATCCGCAGGGTGAGCACAAGAGCGTACGGGTACTTAGAGCGTGCGAGTTATTCATTTTGGTCCCGAGCACTATTTATTGGCCACCGTTACAACATCATGACGAACAACAATGCTGAGTCTCTGAACTCCATGTTGAGAGAAGCCCGTTCTTTACCGATAACTTGCTTGGTCGAACACATTCGGAGTACTTTGCAGAAGTGGTTTTATGAACGTCAAAAAAATACGACCGATTGCAGTACAGTATTGACGCCAAGGATGGAAAATGAGTTACGGATGACATTTGAAACTGGAACTAGGCTTCGAGCCCAGTTGTTGACAAACAACTTAACTCAGGTTGGAATATCCAACGACGTGGACATAGTTGACTTTTTCGAAGACACCTGCACGTGTCGTGAGTTCCAACTAAACCGTATGCCATGTGCTCATGCAACTCGTGCTGTTTGCTTCAAAGGGAAGTCATTGTATGACCTTTGCTCCCCTTATTACACATCTGAATACTAGAGGGGTGCCTATAGCGAAGCTATATATCCTGTTGGACGTGAAGCGGACTGGGTTGTTCCCAGTTTAATTACATCTACTCCTATTTTGCCACCACTCGTATGTCGCCCTCCAGGTAGACCACCGACCCGACGTAAGCGTTCAAGACACGAGTCTGCATGGTCGAGCAGGAAATGCACTCGTTGTGGTCGTCTTGGTCATAATCGGAGCACATGTTCGAACCCCAATGTATCACAAGTTCCCTAAACGTTGTTAGTGCAATCGACGTTGTATGTTCAATGTTCCTTAGTGCCCTGCACCTTACAAAGTTATGTTATAAATAGGCAAATGGAATTGTAAACTGGGACGTTGTCCTTCTCTTGTTGTTGTTGGACTGCGCGCATCATGAACCTCATTTATGAAATGCTATTTATTTAGAGCTGATTTCTTTCCGTGGTGGACTATTTTATAAATTATAATATATTTCATGAATATTGAACTTAAAATTCATCCAGCAAACGTTGTGCAAAATATAGGTGTAGGTTAATTTGTCGATCTCGACAGATAGAAATCTGTAATTCTCGACAGTTCGACCGGACTGGACTGGACTATACACAAAACATACTACCCAGATTACGGCGAAGGGAAATGTTCATGCAGACATTTTCGTTCTGTGTTAACCAACTGCATCCCTACAAAAGAGTGGACTGTACACTACTTATTCACTACACTCCACGGCCGGCATTTCACTCGTTGTCGACAACCGAACTTGCTCCTCCGCTGTCGTCACCTGACTCGTCAGATGAGATGATAATGATCTCGTTCTCTGGGACGTACGCCAGCCCGTCGTCGTCCTCGGATTCCCCCTCGTACGCAGCGTCGACCGAGAGCACAGCATCAAGCACATCGTTCTGTGACAAACCATCGTCACTCCCTACATCTTCCAAGTTCGGGAAGCGAACAGGGAAAATGGCTCTCCTACCCATACGAAGCTCAATTTCGTCATCGTCTGACGAAATGTAGATTGGAAATAACGGAGAGAAACCAGGAACCGGCATCGGCTCATCCATGTTGAACGGTTCGGTGCTTCCTGTGGACGAACTCATTATGCTTATGTAGTAAAGTATTGCTGAAATGAAATCTGTCTTTGAGAGCCACAAATTCTCACAATGCTATTCCACTAAGCTGTCTAGAAGTGTGAACAATGTGACACTGTATTTATAAGCAAGTTGAAGAGGAAATGCAATTATGGTCATCATCTACCCAACCACCAAGTCCAATCTCCTTGTTCATTTGAAAAGCAATTGGTGTGATGGTTCAATAAATTTATGATACTGTTATCCCCCATTTCCCCATAATTAGTAGGACAATTAACACTCTTTATTATCTTTGTATAATTCAGTGCATATACATTCCTGCACCTGAAATGCCTCTGTGCAAAGTATTCCTAGCAATTGTGGCATCTTTGTAATTGTAGTGCTTCAAAAAAATGGGATTACATTATATTCACACACATGGTATACCGAGTACAGTTCTTATCAAAAATTTTGAAAAGTGGTTGTAAGTTTGTATATATGCTTGATAACAATGCCAATTTAACAACGATATCAACATTGAGCATAGAAGAGAAGAAATTCTGCAGTTATTATCAAAATAAAAATTTTAATCATTATAATGTCCATCTTCTACAGTAGATTGCAGTTTAGTTCCCCTTGTACATGGGTGGACTTTCTTGGTGCCATCTAATTGATGTTCTAACCTGGAAACAAGGCGTACTTTAACGAGAATGCAAAGATCATTTTCCAAATTTCAGAAAAATGCTTATCATGTCAATTTAGGTTCCCACTGTTCACGTAATAGAAGACATAAACAAGGTGTCAGACTATGTCATAACTTAAGGCAAGGCAAAATGTGGGACGCTTGTCAAAATTCCAACGCACATGTCAAATGAAAATGTAAAGCGTCAATGTTAGAATAAACGTAAAAGCGAGTGATTAATTGTTCAAGTCTACTACGTTCATCATCTGCACGCCTCGGCAGGTAAGCAAAAACCAAAAACAACCCCATCGTCCTGCCATCCCGCCACTTCATTCACAATTACTTCTTCAAAGTCTTTCCCCTCCCCCTCGCGTACGAAGTCCTCGTCGCAGGAGCGGGACGTCGTAGCCGGGCGGAGCGCCGTCTGGTCGTAGAAACTCGACCTCTTCCTTCTGGTACAGGCGCGAGAATAGGTACGTCAGCAGCGGGAACAGGTACGGTAGCGACAACACCTACATAACAACGGAAGGGGCCCAGTGAGTTACCGTCAATGACATTCACTAACCATACGTATTATACACAGTAGTAACGCATGCAATGAACTTATCTTCGCCATCTGTGACGTTGCAACCGTCAATCTCTGCATCGCTGACCGCGGCCGCATCTGAGGGCTCTGTGGCAGCTCCGTCTTATTAACAGAAAATACGTAAATGCATAGCATTCGACGAAACATTAGGAACCAAATGCAATGACATGAAGTTGCGAAAAGTGCTTGTAATGGACACAATACCTTCCTGGTCGTACATTGGAGTGGACAACGGCTCGTGCTCAACGTCCGGGCATGGTGCAATGTCAGCTCCCTCTATTGACAACAACAGTAAAATAATGTGAGCACATTTTTTATGTCATGTTTCTCAACATGCGTACTCAATGAAATAATATGTTTCGAATTGTGCATGAAATATCCACATACCTGGCAAGTCTTCAGTTTCGACAAGCAGCTCCCCCTCGTCTCTGCATGGAGGACTGTATGCTCCGACTGTGGAAATCAACAGTGACGTCATGAGAGCACATTACATCTCCGAACTCAAGAATCGTACAATGACCAGGCAGTAACATGTGTAGAATCGCTCATTAATAATGCACGTACCTGGAGGCTGTGAACGTCCTGTGTCAACTCCCAATTCAATTGGCGTGGGCAATGGGTTTGTGCCTCGTCCATGTACATCTACATCCCAATTGCAACAAGAAAAAAATGAATAACCTTGTGGTCGATTTCCAAAAATATAACCGAATAGCACATGTTTGATTCATACCTTGTGGGGAACAACTTGAAGGACCGGGTTCGAAAATGGCGCCCGTTGAGCGCGGAGCGGTGGTGGGGGGATGTGGGGCCACCTGGCCAGCAATGAACTCACGGAGTCTTGTACATTCAAATGTCACGTGTTGTTCAATTTCAAGCTTCACAGTCCGGAGTCGCATCTCGAAGAGGATTCTTTTTGGTCGAGTAGCAGCTCCTCGACTTCCCCTTTCGTCAAGCTGGAAGCAGATGTTCGAACTGGCAGTGAGTTCGTCGTATGCCCTCGCTCTGGTGAACGAATCGGTGCCCCTGCAGGGGAGGAAGAGTCACTGGTATCCTCACCGTCGTCGCCTTCGCTATCACTTCCCGACTCCCTTTCGCTCTCATCATCTCCAGATGTCTCTCCGTCACCACTTCGTCCACTACGGACTCTGTCCTCCAAATCTTGACCTCCCGATTGTCCACCAACTCCACTTTCGGCGTGTAAGGAATGAATCTGCGGCGCTACCACATTCCTCACAATGTCATCAAGCACGGGCACCGGGGGATCGTCGTACGGCACGAGAGAGGACAGATATGGCTGCTCAACCTCTGCATCGGTGGGACGGAGAGTTGCGTACACATGCAGCTGCGAAATGAGGTTTAGATAATCACATTAGAACGTGCCAGATAGTAACAAGATGGTAAAGGGGAAACAAAGACATGTCAAAATTCTACCTGTACATTCTTGAAAAATGCATCGTATGTACGTTGTTGTGGCTGTTTTCGAGCGGACCAACGAAGAATTCGTGGTAGTCGTTCACCGACTCGTGACCAAAGCGTTCCCCAATCTCCGAAATCGCCTCGAACGCCCAAACCTGTTACAGCAACAGAAACACATTACAATTACAGAGATTATATGCGCAATGTGATGGGGAAGTCGTGAACCGTGCATGTAAAATTACAGAGATTATATGCACAATTACAGAAACACATTCAAATTACAGAGATTATGTGCGTACTTGCATGGCGATGGGGAAGCCATGAACCGTGCATGTAATCTCTTTCTCCTTCCTCCTCTTGGCCTTTTCGAATTTTCTTCCAAATCTGCCCTGGAACCCGTGCAACAATCGCTTATATCCAACTCTACCCCAAGGGTAGGAAAAAAAGAAGTTGAGGTCGTCCACCATTGATAAAAATGGCAAATGGATACTGATGTTATTATCCGGAGCATTGAATACTCCCTCGACAATTAGAACAAGGCCTAGCTTGTAGCGATCAGCACGGGTCGTCGATGGTCGGGCAACAGTACACTGTAGTTGTGCCAATGATACCTTGTCATTGGACTTAAAGTACCTCTCTTTTAACCTTTTCCTCTCAATCAATCGATCAAAATCGTCCCCCTCGGGGAAGGCACCGCATCTTAACCCCGTCACAGCAGCGTACTCTTGTAGACCGAATCTCATCAGGTGGCCTTGCACATTGAACCAAAGCTCGTTTGCCTTTTCTGTGCGGATTGTTCTAAACAGTAGCTGTAGGATTAGCTAGGCAGAGAATTGAATGTCTGGAATATCAGCCAGATACCCGAGGGGGGAGTTGCGAAAGTCCTCACGTTGCCACTCGTCAAAATGGTTCATCACAGTCTTAACATACTTGAGGTTGCTGCGTTGGGAAATGTGGGCCCGCAACCGTGCGTCTTCTGGAATCAGGAATTCAAACTCCATATGCCCTGCAAAGTGCGTTGACAAAACCCATGAGATTAGATTATAAACATAAACAATATTGTATAACGTCTAACGCTATAAGGATTCAACATCATGGATGCGGTGATCTGTCGAGAACTACAGAGATCATACATCAGTATCGACAGATTGTCTGTGGACATCTGTCAATACCGATGGTTGATGTTGAAATACGCATGATACGCTAACTGTCGAGAAAAACAGAGATTCAAGTGTCGGGGTCGACAGTTCATTGGGAGTTGGTATGCGTGCTGCGGGGTGCAAGTTGAACATATTAGGCAGTGCCACATACAAGTATGTTTCAGAAGTAATAACGGAGGATGTGTGAAGGCAGACATGCATGCTAGAAACTGGAAAGATAGCCAACTGTATTTATACATATGTCACCATACAAGCATGGGTTTTAACGTAAGTTACATTTAAAAACGCCCCATATGTTTTAACGTAAGTTACATATAAAAATGCCCCATACGTCTAACCCACTTGAAAATGAAAGAAAGTGATACGAATCCTCACCTGGTATATACAAACGGGAGGCTTGGAATAGAACACCTATGAATGTGTCCGGAATCTGACCTCACCACCAAAGTTAGAAACACACGTTCATAATTGAAAAAAAATAAAAAGGACCTACGGATTCGTCGCCATTCAAGTTATCATACTTATTATCAAAAATAGGAAACAAATTAAAAGAAGTGAGCATAAATGGAGAGTCAATATGAAACAGTGAAGGATATGTATGCAAGTGATTTCAACGAAACAATTTTAGAGGTCAAAGTAGGTAGGACACAATATCATACACCTCAACTATTTGACGAATACTTAAGACAATCAATGACACCATTTTGTACACCTCAATATGGTCAACAGTAATTGAGACAATCAATGAAATGAAAAAAATAACTATTTCTCCATCCTAGGTATTCCATCAAATTGAGCAACCAAATCCTAGCATGAGAGAGTTTTTCCCTATACCAAATGAAATCATCGGAAACCAAATCTTCTTTACAACGTGTATTACATTAATTGACTTTTGCAGTCGCGGGAATTGGCTGCACCAAATATTCCCATGTATGTATGAAGTTATACATCGACATTCCATGGAAATTAAATTTAATTAGAGGGATACAAAATTCCACAAGCACAACATGTTTCGATGTTCGTGTCTTCTGTCCAATGCAAACAAAAGCCCAGCCACAATAAAATAGGAAAACATACCCCATAGACCAAACCCCAACTTAGTCCACGAGATTTTCAACCCGTCTTATTCCCAGAAAATAATAATAATAACACAACACAAAATGTTTGAAAATGGGAAGATAGATAATAACAAATGTGAAGAGGATTTCATCACTTAACCAAAAAAGCCATAAGTGGATCAGTGACAAGACAATTAATCACTTAAACACAAATTCATCATGCCATGAATAACCTGCCAGTAAGATTATGAAACTCGACAAGTGCACTACAAAAGCATAAGCAAATGGAATAGTAACTTAATAATTCACATGAATTACAAAAATTTAGCAATAATCCTTCAAACATATTGATTTCCAAGCTTTGACAATAACATTTTACCACAAGACAAGACTTCTATCGTTTTCTTTTATTTTCCACAAAACAGGAATACTGCAAACCTGTTCTTGAAGTTGGTGCTGCTTGAGGTACTCAATTGCTTCATCCAGCATTAAAGCCTTGTTCGTCTAACACAATTGCAAAAGATAAACATTTAGAAATAACAAAGTAAACCCCATTAGATTTAATGAAATCAACACTTCAACTATCCACTAAACAGGAAAATAAAATAATTTGTGCTTTCTACCTTGTTTGAATTTGGAATTAGATTTTGCAACGACTTTGTGTTGCCATTAATCTTGCTCCTCCTCCTCTGCCAAATGCATCTCATAATTTCAAAACACGGGACTCAGATTGGAATATATACATACAAACTTCAAAATGAAACATATAACGAAAAAAAGAAGAAGTAAAACTACAATTTTCTGTCTACAAAAAAGAACCTTTTTGAGACAAATTATACACTTCAGTTACTCGGGTAATCTTCGATGACTTCCGACGTGGTGTTGGCTTCGATAGTGCCTCTTCTACCAAGGCTTCAATAGCATCCTACATATGATAACTATGAAATTAAACTCCACAACGAAAATATATATTAAGGTACACGAAAACATAAATGGAAGCAGAAATTTATGCTAACAAACGTAATTGTAACATTGTATGAACTCCCACAACCCATAGGATCTCAGAAAGCCGTTATCCAAATCATTCGCTAGAAAAGTAAGTTTCGACGGAAAATTTTTTAACCTATAACATTAATTATGGAAGATAAATTTAGATTAAACGTGACGATATATTAAATACATTTCGCACCTACAAATTATGTCAAACATCTTAAAATTGCACCACTACAATATCTAAAATTCCTATATTTCTTACAATTGAGATATGTAACAGTAAACTGTAAACCTCCAATGAGATATGAGTCACGTTTCTTTATGTCATTATACTAAATTATTAATCTTAATCTCAAAGTTTGTTATTAATAAATAATACATATATGTTCAAGTTTTATCTAGAGTATCAACAATAAATTTTAAAAAAGGCCCATTTGCTTTGAGTTTGAGCTACAATACTTGATTGAAAAGTGGAAAACAAATCAAAACCCAATTCATTGAATCCATAAAATACATAATATTGTTTTCATACAAGTAAGTTCGTCCAATTGCCATACACATTCTCCAATTATTCTGTCGTTCTGTAATCTGTGTCAATAACAAAACTTAAAAATCCTAAACCTAAATGACAGTTGCAAAACTCCAATTCCAATTAATGCTATTGGTATTGTAAAAGTGCATCCTCTTCTCTATAGAAGGCAGAATCCTTGATGTCAAATGAAAAGAAATAACCTCAAAATAATCCATCTTCCCAGGAAAATGTTTAAAAGAAAAACAAAACCACATTATGAAATAGAGTTTTTATGTATTTCAGAAAGAACCTTTAAGATCCAAACAAGACAAGACTCCAACTTTCTTCCTCAAATTACAAGACTTGCAGAACTTGGAGTTGATCGATAATGACCTCATCAGATTCATATAATGGCTTCAAGAGGAAGATAAATGGAGTCATTACATCACATTCTAGCCTACATTCTAGCCTTTCCATGAAAATTTCAAGTCAAATCTTCACCACTTATCTCCTATTTCTAACTTCGCCCTCCAGTTTCTTTATAAAACTGGAAATTGGATATTGCATTTTCATTACAGTCTTCAAAATGGTTTTCAAAACTTCAATAAAATATCCCCAATTCAGCCCACTTCACTTAACAAATTGTTGGATGCAAAATAAAAAAAGAGAAAGAATATTGAAATCTATACACATATTACCTACAAATTATATTTCATACCGGTACGGCAGGGCTACACAGGCAGCAGCGTGGATGGTGAGTTGATGACGGCAGGCTTCGACTTCAAAGAGATGTGGACTTTCGACCTTCTTCGCTCTTCGAATGCACCGGCCGCAGAGAGAGGAAGAGAGGAAGAGTGAGTATGAACGAGGGTACGCAGGCAGCGACGTGGATGGTGAGTTGATGACGGCGGGCTTCGACTTGAAAGAGATGTGGACTTTCGACCTTCTTGGCTCTTCGAATGCACTGGCTGCAGAGAGAGGAAGAGTGAGTATGGACGAGGGTATAAAAATTGGGGCTGATTTTTGTACAACTTTTTCCATTGGTATTGGGTCTAATTTTTTTCCTTTTTCTTCAAATTCACATGGTAGGTTTCTGTACAATTTTTGCACATGAGTCAAATCTTATTTAATTTTGGTAATCTTCCATTGGTCATTTCTCATTTCATTAGGACCTGTAGGGTATTTGAGATTCTTTAGAGGGGCAAATATGTCTAAAATTGACATTCTTGCAATGCCAAAAAAAAAGTAACATAATTGTAAATGCAAAGTTAAAAATTGACTATTTTGATAATTTCCACTTTTTTTATATATTGGCTTAGCTTCGTCTCAAAACAATACGAGTTCCTCAATTTCAAACCACGAGAACAACCAAAATAATTATATTAAAAGATAATGCAAATTTTCACTCTAATGTTGACGGAAACACTAAGAGAACATTAATATTCAAGATAGAACAATACAAAAGCCGCTAAATTACGCATAATTTTGCATTACTTGTATCCATATTGAAAAAGAGAAATGTCGTAAAGCTTACAACATCACAACACAAAAGGAGTGAATGCAAGGAAAAAAAGGACTTCTAAATTCTGCAGAGAAGTTTATCTTCTTACTTCTCATTCTCAGTTTATGTCTCTCGATCTATCTGTTTCTAATGAAGTGGAGAAGAAAGAGGATGAGCACCCCTTTTATATTGTCTCTTCACTCCTTTCTTCTTCCAATCTTCGACCTACTGTATCACAAATTAACTGGCAATTGAATCTTACAGCAAGTAAATAAAAACACGACTCAAGATTAAATCTTGTATAACTGCACAATTGTTGCACTACGAATTCATATAAGCTGTGTGATCTTCTTCATGTAGAATAGCTTGTTTTCCTTATCTTAGACGAGAGTGTAGCTTGAGACCGAGACCTCTGCTGGAGAAGCAGAGTGAATATAAACGAACTCGATGCTTTTTCCTGCAGGCAACGAGTCAATCCATGCTGGAAACGAATAAGAATCACTGGACTTCGTGAGACCCCATATAGGACCATAGAGCTTGGAAATCGAAAGCTTCAAATTTTTCAGGGTCTTGGGAGACTTGTTGGTTACTATTGTGGAGTATCTGTAGTAAGTTTTTCCTTTCGAAACCCATGAAGTTGTCTCCTTTTGTGCAATATCAATAGGACTGGCAGATGAAGCTGCAAAACAGGTTTTTTTTCACATTAGATGTGTCCTCGCAAAAAGAGATGTTGATCCTACAATTTATGCCAAATGTGTATTCCGAATTATGCCCCAATCCCATCTTGAGAGAGCAATAAATAGAATGAAAATCAAAGCAACCGAACCAAATGGATTTACAGCTAGTTTCTGCGGCAGGTATTCACTACAAGGGAGTAGTGTACAAGGTTCTCCTCAAGCCTCTCACACCCCAAAACTGACTCCCATTATAGGAATATATTATTAGGTCAATCCGGTTCCCCAGTGTCTAATATTCCAATCCAAAAAATGAAAGTTAAAATGAACCACCTTCTTGAAGCAGCAGAATGTTACCTGGTGTTGGAGTTACTTTAGGTTTTGGGGCTGCTTTCGGCTGAGTATTAACCGGTTTAAGTGCAGGAAGTTCCACTGAAATAGACAATGCATAATTATTCAAATCTAGCGAGCGAACACTAGACAAAACTTCAAATTTGCAAGGACCGAAGTCATTGAACTAAACGTACCTGGAAGGAGCTGGTTGTATCCGTCGTGACCACCATGTAGCCTTGCTAATAAGCCCATAAGGGGGGCATTGTTGTAGGTAGCAGGCTCAGTTTGCTCGTAGTTGTCTCTTTGATCAGCAAAGTTGTCATAAGCATCAGGTCCTCCAACAAGTGCACCAGTAAGTAAATTCGGATCGCTTCCTTTCCTGCTGAACCAAGTGGCATAACCTCCTCGGCAACTAACAAATGAAGGGTCTACCTTAAAGGAGACAATTGAGGAACCTCTATGGTGAACTTGGCGTGGGTAGTTGTTTCCATATCCCACCATGTAACTTGTGGCTCTTGGATTGTCTCCAAGAATGTAATCAACCTTACATGATCAAAAAACAAGAATTAGAATCTTTCCCCTTGTTAATTCAATTTCATGAATATTTGTCATACTCCTCAATGGAAAATTCACCGACAACCAAGTTCAACACCAAAATCAAATAGCAAAATTTCTCGTAATAAGGTGGTACGGGCTTGGTTGTTGAAATAGCATTAAAGAGTTACTCATATTCAGAGCAGAGTTGCACCTGAGATTTAGCAAACGCAAGAAGTTCAGAGGGTGGAACATAGCCAGAAACGCACTTGAGGGACTTGCCGGCAGAGGATAGATAATCAGAGTAGACAGTGAGAAGGAACGAAGCACTTGTTACAAACTGCATGTTGTTCCACCTCTGACGGAAAATGAGTCCTCCCGGAGTCTTTTGAACATTGGCGGAGCCCTTTCCAAGGCATGAGCACATGAAGTACTCGGCTTTTTGCTGGTACTCTTCAAACACGGGGGTGTAATGTCCACCTTTTCCTTGCATTAGGAACTGCAAGAAGATGTTATTAGGATTAGTTACTAGAGAAGCCCAATCAAGAACCATACATAGATACAGACCATTGCACCAACATGGTGAATCCCATTATAAGAACGGATATTTTAGTGTCGTGCATTGTTAAACCACCTTGTCTAGAACTAGAAGGTGATAGACTTGAAATCAGTATATTTGACTACTCTGATACCTAATACCATGTTGCTTTTAAAAATATTGTTTAGTGAAAAAAGTAAGTTTGACAAAATAAGTAAATTTTAAACGTAAATTTGCCAAACACGAGCATAAATTTACCTTGGCAACTAATGTCTGAACACCAGCATACTTCACGTCCCAACCAAACTCAGTCATGGCCCAACCAGTTCCTCCCAGTGCATCACCATTGTTCCCGAGGTAGTTCAAGTAGTAATCATTGTTTGATGCCTTGTACAACCATGCAGCTGCCCACAGCAATTCATCCTATACCCAGAAATAGATAAATAATCAAAATTAGAAACAATCTTTGATAAATGAAATTATTTATATATAATTAGTAATGTTTCACTACTGGTCTGCGATTGTATTGATCTAGTAAGAAGTTGGTCTCCAACCTTTTTTAAAGAACAAGTTGTCCCCAACCTTCAATAAGAGTATGTCTAAATCTCAGTGGTGTGTCCGCATGTCCAATTTTGTATAGAAAGATTTTGCTTTTTAACTTGTGTCAAGCATAAACTTGAAGTGAAACATATTTTCACGAGAGCCAGTGGACGAAAATTTGCAGTTTCCATCATTACATATTGAACTCAACTTACTCACATTAAAGGTCAGGGACAGATCATTTATTCAACTTTTTCCGCATGTTTGGGAACCAAATTAAGTTTAATTAGAAGGGGTGGAATCACATACAGCATATCCACTGACAGATCGGTAGTACTTCTGTGCTAATGTAATGCTACTGTCATATTTGCCCCTGTATTTGTCCGCAAAATCAAAAAGCTGAATAAAAAAATAATCACTTGTTAGCAAGGAGGGTAAAAATGAAAAATAGCTAAAATTGAAGGGTAAAATAGGAATGTAGATAGAAATTTTTAATTTTTGTAATATAGAATTCTCCTTTATTATTTATTTAGAAATTCAGGAGTTGCTGAAGGTTGCTAAATTACGCTCCGTTTTCTTTTATTTATTTATTTATTATTATTTTTTTAACTTGCTAATAAACGTTGTGGCAAAATGCTATTCTGTACCGACAACAACCTCCCCGATAAAAAATTAAATACTCGACTATTTCCCACCCCAGTTGCTAGTATGCGCCAATCATGGAACACACTAACCAACACAGTAAAACCCCAGCGAAGAACACTACAATAGAAAGCGATCATGCCCTTGTTTAAACCCTATTTTTTCAAAAACTCATTTTTTCAAAATTATTTTTAATCACACGATTTTCAATAAAATAATATTATATTTTAATCATACATTTTTTAAAAAATTGTACAAAACACATTTTCTCTTCAAAATGGGACTCTATAACTAAGGCCCATTTGACCCCCATTAATTTTTATCTTTCTTTCTCCTATTTTTAATCATACAATTTTTTATAAAATAATATTACACGTAAAACCAAAAAATTTCTTTTTTTTTCCAACCAATCATTTTTCAAAAAGATATTATTACATCCTTTTTCATTTCCGGGAGTCAAACCGAGGCTAATTCTATTTGACTATTAATCAGCTAATCTACCTAATAAAAATATAGTGAGTGCTTAATTAACCAACCTGGTAGGCATGTTCGAGTAGCTCTTTAGCATACGACGGGTTGTAGCGGCGGAAGACGATGGATGCAGCTGCCATGGCTGCAGCGGTTTCACCGGCAAGGTCGGATCCCGGGTTGCTCGGGTCAATTTTATATGCGGCCCGAGAGGTAGTCATGTCCTCGGGTCTTTGCCAGCAGTAGTGATCTGTGTTTCCATCTCCAACCTCTCCATAAAGAACATTAGGCTCCGCGTGGGCTTTGATTAGATAGTCAGTGCCCCATTTAATAGCATCCAAAGCATTGTTAAGTTCTCCACCAGCAGCCATTTGTCTTCCATACTCTATTAAGCTCCAAGACATCATTGTAATAGTGAATGCCATTGGTAGCCCAAATTTGACATTGTCCCCTGCATCATGGTATCCACCTACGAGATCCACCTGCATAAAATTATAACGACTGTTTTAAGTCCACGTCCAAGCATTAATCAGGATTAACACGAGAACAAACGAGAGAAATTGCAGTAATATACTTGAACTAAAAAGCAAATCAGCAGAAAAAAACTACCCCATTGATTTTTCCATCCCTGAGACCAGAATTACCACGCCATTGGATTCTTTGATTACTGGGCAAGTAACCAGATCTCTGAGCTTCAAAGAAGAGAATGCTCTTAGTAAGAGCTTCTCCATAGTCATGGCCACCCAATGCCAAAGGAAGAATCCCAATTAGTAATAAAAACAGAGGCGCAATTGAAAAACAGAGTCCCATTGATTTCTCCATTACACAAAAGGGTTTAAGGTGATATTTCCTATACGATCTGGTCTGTGAAAGCAAAGCGTGTTTGTCTATGTATTAACAAAATGCGGATGTTTTGGTTTAGTTTATCAGCTAAAAATTCTGATAAACGCAAACAGAACAGAACGAGACCTAATGAGAATGGAAAGAGAGAGAATGGGAATGGGAGAAGAAGAAGAAGAGCAAAAGGCAGTATTTATGGAGGGAGGAGGGAAGGAAGGTCCGAATTATTATACAGAAAATGGGTAGATTAATAAATGCACTTCATTTTCTGTATTTTCAAAAGGGAAAATAGTATTATTAGTCCCCATTCATTGTCTTTATTGCAACTTGATCCTAAGATTATTTTCTTGCAGTACTGTCCTTAATTTTCTAGTTTTTTCGTATCATTAGTATTCATTCAGCGAAGAGACTTTGTCTTTAAAAAACTAAAGAAAGATGATCAAAATTTCACCAATGCCATCATTTTTCTTTTTCTTCTTTTACCTTCAACTTGTTCAAGCTCAAAGGCACGTAATAGACCTTGGAAAGAGGGAGTGGCCTCAGCAAACCTTGTAAAATAGTTTTTTTTTTTTTTTCGACTAGTGTTGGGGAATGGATTGTTTTTAATCTGTTTATCCAATTCAAGAACGTACTTTAGATAAGAATCAAATGTAAAGGTGGAGATATCTCCTCCCGTTTCATTCATGTTTTCATTAAAAATTTATGTTTACCATTTTACTCCTTTTCGTTTGGAATCAATGACGTTTTAAAACTAAAATATAGAAGATATTATAGTGTATAAAAAAAAAAAAAGCTGGGAGCCAAATTATATCAAAGTGTGTAGATTGTGGACTAATACTCCCAATTACACTATGAAAAACAATAATGTCGTGAGGGAGCATAGGCATGTGCTTTTGGTTGTACACTTTTTCTAGGAAGGGTCGGCGCTGAATCTTTATTTTATTTGGCTACAAATCAAATTACTGCTGCAGACCAATCAGACCAATAGATTAATATCAATTAAGTAATATGATAAGGACAGCATTGCAAGATTAACTGACCCTTCTTAGTTGATACTGGATAGTTACCAAAATGAGTAAGAATAAATTGAGTTGTTAGAAGGAGAAATGTCTCTTGTGTGTCCCCATTGTGCTATTGTCAATAATTTTGTACTAGAAATATTGAGCTAAATCATTTTCTAAATTTTCTATTAAAAATGTAGAAGATCGCAAGATCCATCTTTAAACTTACAGTTGAACTAAATAAATGCGGTAAAATTTATTAGCGGTCATGTTCAGTCCAATAATGATTCGACTTATTTTTTTCACATCACTCATTAAATTCGATAAAACTGGATGAACCTACTAAATTTGAGGAAGAATATTTCCTATTCTAGTTGAATTGAATAGGAGTATAGGACTCGATCCATAATTTTTATTTATTTATTTTTTTTGTTAAAATAATGTATTTACCATTTTGCCCTCATACAATTTTTTGTAAGTTTTGTCAAGTTCTATTGAATTTAAATAGGACATGATAAACTTGGAAAAAAGTATGTGATAGTATTTTTTAGTTGTCCTTTTCACTTAAATAACAATTCAATTCATCGCCTTTACACAGTTATTTGTATAGAACTAGACCAAAAAATAAAATAAAATAAAATAAAATCCGCAAGTGATTGAGTTTTTTTAATAGTCATGCTTAATGAGGACGTGTATTATTGATCGTGTTATGAAAGTGCACGAGTGAAGTGTGCTTCGTGTCACTGAAATGCGATTCTGTTAGTGGTGCCTCCTACCAAATGATGATACGTGGCTGACTATTGGCTATTGGATCTAGCTTCAGAATTCTTCTTTAGAATAAAGCATTCCATTTGCTTCGTTGGTTCATTCACTTGGTTGTATTTGGCATCTGGTTTTGAGAGACACACAACTTCATTTTCAGGGCTCGTCATCTCTCTTTCGAAAATCTCATTCAAGATATTCAAGTTTTCTACTCCCTTTCGGATTTTTAGTTTGATTCTTGGTGAAATCAATGGAGGAAATATTGTTCCTTGTATTGTAAATTCAGAGAAGGGTTAAGTGTGTTCGCTTTGATTTCTGTGACCAGTAACTCGAATAATTTAAATTTTTTTAAAGATAAATCTTTTGCGGCTAGATATTTGTATCTCTTGAACATTTCTGTAAAATTGATTGCTGTTTTGGACATGTATAGTGCTAATTAGCATTATTCTCTTTTGTGGATGTTCAACAAGGGATTAGATGTTAGCCCTCGTTTGATCCTCATTCTCATTCTCATTCTTTTTCTCTCTTTTATTTTTAATCACATAATTTTTCATAAGATAATATTACACGTAAATCAAAAACTTTTCATTCTTTTTCAATCATACATTATTCAAAAAAACACTATTTCAACCATTAAAATTTGGCAAGAACAGGGCCAAACATGTTCTTAAAATCGATTATCGAACATTTGGGGCTTAGATCGAAAAAACCCTTATGTTCTTGGTTTAATTTTCTACAATTTTATCTTCTGCACTTTAAGCCTTCTGTGATTAATCAATCGTTTTTTTATTTTTGGGTCTTTCGGCGGTATTAGAGTCTTGATATATAAAACGTGATAATAAATCTCCAAAAAATGTAGATCTATAAAAGTTTTGTGTACTAATCTTGGTGAAAATCAAAAGAAATAGAGTTTTAAATAGCGTTCGAAAAATTATTTTTAAGATTATGAAATTTCTTTTAAACATAATTTGAGGAAGCTAACTAAAAGTAACTTCCTCGTGATTTTTCTTTCTCAACTTTTAATTGCAACATTCTAAAAATTAGATAAATGGTCATAATTTGTTTTCACCACGTGGGAATCACCTAATATATTTTGTCTCTTAAATTATTTTTGAAATATGATTATCAAGAAAAACTACCCGTCCCACCTGGTCTTTAGTTTGCACCATTCGACAGCCCGACAAATAACACATACAACCATTATAAATTTTCTCTGTGGCATCAACATTTTATATTGACCACCGACACCAAACAGTAAACATTTTTTTTTTTACTTCACAGCCGGTCCAACTCAAAACGAACAATAAAATTGTAATATCTTTAGGAAAAAGCTGCTCTAACAGGGTTAAAAACCCGACTTTGGATCCAGACGGTGCATGACAGCGCCTGCTCCCTTCAAACAGTAAACATTTTTTTTTTTACTTCACAGCCGGTCCAACTCAAAACGAACAATAAAATTGTAATATCTTTAGGAAAAAGCTGCTCTAACAGGGTTAAAAACCCGACTTTGGATCCAGACGGTGCATGACAGCGCCTGCTCCCTTGTTTTTTCTTTTCTTTTTCTAACTCTCCAATCACTGCATGACACGTGTTGTCTGGATATAAAATCTGAATTGAAACCCTGTCATTGTAACACAACTATCTTTCTAAAGCGTGCCTAGTGCAAGAGACTAAATTAAGGAAAAACAAATAATTATATTCACAATACAGCACTACACATTAATTTCAATGAATGTATTCTAATTTTGCTTATTTTTACACTTATATTCATAATTTTTCATCACAATCTTACCTTCAACCTTCTATTAATTTGTATATATTGTTATGAAGACGATTTCCATCCAAAAAAATTCATTAGGAGGACAGGAAAAGATAATTTATTTCTTGTATTTTAAATAAGTAATAAATAATAAATACAAAAAATTTGGATAAAAATCTTTATAGAGGCAACACTTGCTAATTTAATTGCGAGTTAAGGATAAAAGTGCCACGAAACAAAATCGAGGGCATAAGGGTAAAAATGAGGGGAAAAGAAAAATGGAAAAAGAGGATCAACATTATAATTAAAATATGGTACACATAATAAAAGAATGTGGTGTGAGAATAACTATCCTTAAGAAATTATTTTGCTTATAAGTTTTAAAATATATAATTGTTTTGTTGGTAAGACTATAAATGAATTACTTTTTTTGAAAAGCCATGAATTACTTGAGATGAAAGTTATTTGAAATTATAATAATCCTGTTGACAACGTTAAAAAAAATTATTAACCCCAATTTTGAGTCGGGAGATCTCAATATAAAATATGCAAATCTTTGTATTTTACACGATTTACGCACGGATGGATCTTTGAAGACTAAGAAAAATCTTCCTACCAATCTTAATTACATCTTGAAAAATCTCATCAAACCTACATTAACTTTTATGTAACCCAAATTAACTCTCATCACCAATAAACAAAAACTTAAAAATAAAAATTACGATTGTATAGTTCATCTTATCGTTCGAGTCTTGACTGTAAAAGCCTGTTGGCATAGATTTTTCAAACTTATAAATTGATTGAGCATTTTAAACACAGATTTTTCAAAGTATATCACACAATATACTGCTTATAAGCATTCAACAGCTTAGCCAAACAAGCAGTTATTTGCCGAGTTATACAAGCCTTTATGACCGAAAGTATTTTGACCATTCTGATCGAAATGAGATAATATTTTCTAAAAGTAAAAGTTAAAAGCTACAAAAGTACCAAAGAAAGCCAAAGAGGTTAAAAAAGTCATTATCTTGGCTAACAGGTGGTCCCTCCTAAGAAACAAATTATTCTCAAATCTCAACCGCAATCAACGGCCTGATGCCGGAAAAGAAATGAAGACTCTATTTTGCTTTTAACACTTTTTAGAAAGTAAAAATATTATTTAAATTATTACAATGAACCTATAAACAGAAAGATATCATACACAAATATAAATAAACTCGTTCATTTATCATCCAAAGAATAACTTCTAACTTGAAAATTGAAGGAACCTCGACGGTAAATCATCGTACATTTGTTTCAAGTTATCTAGAGGTTCTAAATATAATTCTACTACAAATAGAGGCTCGAGTATGTTATAGTTTGTGTCCCATGAACTTGCAGGTACAATTTTTCTATATATGGTGTAAATCAAGTCATACAGGACTTATGAGCTAATATATCTTTTTCATTAAGTTTGCATATGGATTTTTTATTTTTTATTTTTATTTTAAATATGGCTATTCTTGTCTAACTTGCATTGCACTCAGCACAAATTATCAAGAGTTGGTTCGGATTGGATTTGGACCGTACTTTTATGTACTAAATTGTTCAAACTCGATAAACTTTATACTTCTAATCGTGATCACGTAACATTTGTTATTCGAATAATCATGGAATTGG